ATTGCCATTTGTTCCGATTTAGCACTAAAGAGCAGGTTTTCTGGGAGAAAGCAGCAGGTTTTGCAGGAGAGTTTTTCATTCAAGTCTCCAAAATATCTGATGCCCACTCCACAGTAACTCAGAGCAGGGCTTTCTGTTTGGCAGCCCCTCTTCTGTTCAACAGCATCCCTGTTGAGCTACGACAGGTGCCCAGTACCTGTACTTTCCAGAAACAATTGAAGACATTTCTATTTCCCCAAGTTTTTTACAGTTGGATGTAGAAGTCTCTGCCTTAGGTATGCATTTTGTATTATCTTCAGCTATACTTTATACTGTTTAAACCTTGTGTTAGCAAGGTTTAAAATAACTTTTATTGTTTTAAAAAACCACCAGAGGCTTTTCTATTAAGCATTGTAGGAGCTGAAATTCCATGGGAGCAGAAAATACTTTTTTGTATGTGACGACAGCTGCACAGATGTTGTTAGCCCAGAGATGGAAAGAAGATAAAGTCCCTAGCAGAGAGGAATGGTAGATGAAGTTGTTGGACTATGACAAAATGGGAAAACTGACCAGAAAGCTCAGGAACCAGGAAGACCAAAACTTTAATAAGGAATGGGAAAAATCTGTATGTTGCCTTAAAGACCACTGTAAGCAGTTGAAAACACTAGCAGGACTGTAATAACGCTTGTAATGTAATGAGAACTTTGGATATAATGGAGTTATAAAAAAACCTTGGTTTTGTGAAAAAGATGCAGTAGAAAAGCTTTAACGATGGAACCCATTGGAGGGGAAGGTGGGAAGTCCAGAGATTCAGAGGACTCTTAACAGTGGCTATTTCATGGAATGATTGTAATTTTGAATATGTAAAACCAAATAAAAATTGTAATAAAAAAATAAACCTTGTTTTAGCTGTTTATATGTGAAAGGTGATTTGTGAAGATGTGGATGGTGATAATTTCTAAATTTGAATCTATACCAAAAAATAGCAGATGCAAATGTTATGAAAATAGGTGTCCTCTTTGGTAATTCATTTCCTCTCTCGAACAACGGGCTTTCTCTTTCTTGAGGCTTAACATCCATGGCAATACCAGCCTGCAGTCCAGCAATACTGAAGTCCATCTAGGTCCACAGGCATGGCCAAACTCGCCCCTCCAGATGTTTGGGGACTACAATTCCCTTCATCCCTGACCACTGGCCCTGTTAGCTAGGGATGATGGGAGTTGTAGTCCCAAAACATCTAGAGGGCCAAGTTTGGCCATGGCTGATCTAGGAAGAGACTTTGACTTGAACCTTACACACATTTACCTAGTAAGCTGCATTGAACACAATGGGATCTGCTTCTGAATGAACACACCTAAGATTGCCCCACACAGCTGCATCTGCATTAGACAGTGACACAACTTGGCATAATGCACAGAGACTGCAGAGGCACTGTAACTTTAAAGCACATTCTTTCCTCCAACAAATCTGGGCACTGTAGCTCACTCAACACAGAGTTGCAATTTTCAGCAACCCTTTACAAACCTAAAATTGATAAAATAGGGGTTTAAGGGTTGTGCCTGGCAAGGCTCACTTGAGGTTGGGGCTGTATGTATTTGCTGCAAGGAGATTCACCCAGGGCTCCTGTCTGAGACTGCTTTATTTCCCCTGCATATTTAAGACAGAGATGGGGAACCTTGTGGCTGGGAGCTGAATGTGGCCCTCCAACTTTCTCTGTCTTGGTTTTCTTTCCAGCCAGACCCCTCGTCAGCCCTGATTTGCACATTTCCAGAGTGTTTTTGGCTGGCTGGAATGTTTCCTTGAACCCGTAATGCCTTTTGCTTGCCTGGGAGGAGGATAGAGGTGTGTGTGTGTGTGTGTGTGTGTGTGTGTGTGTGTGTGAAGGAGCCTACTGTAAAAGGGCAAAATTTGCATTTGTTGCTCTGCCCATTTTTGCATCTGATCTTGCCCAGCAGTGACATACAGCCCTCAGAAGGTTGCTCCAAAGGGAATGTAGTCCTCAGGCTGAAAAAAGTTCCCATCCTCTAACCTGCAGATTCACTGGCAGTTTTGCACAGAGCTCTGTGTTCTAATCCTGCCAGCTCCAAGAAGAGGCAATGAATCTACTCCAGTGTAAGAAACTTGCAAGTCCTTGCTTTGAAAACAAACTTGCTCACCTATGTTCAGAGAAATGTCTGTTTAAAAATAACCTTTAAAGTATCCCTTTAGGGTGAAACTTTGCTACTTTGCTATCAGGAAAAAATAATAATACAGAGCTTCCTCAGAGTTCAGCTGTTCTCCAGGATCTTGACACTTTGGGTCACACCCAAACCATAAATTTCAGAGCCAGTGTGGTGCAGTGGTTAGTGTCAAGCCAGGACCTAAAGGACCAGGGTTCAAAAAAACCCTTCAACCAGGAAGTTTCTTGGGGCCAGCCACTGCCTCCCAACATCACTTACATCACATGATTGTTGTGGGGATTAAATGAGGAATGGGAAAACCATGTACACCAACTTTAACTCCTTGGAGAAAAAGGTGGGATATCAATGCAATAAATAATAATAAGTCTTGTATTGCTTCAACAGTCACAGCTTCACCCAAAGAATCTTGTGAACTATAGTTCGCTATGGGAGCTGACCTCACAGACATACAATACCCAGTACCCTGTAAAAGCTGTAGTTTGCAGGATTCTCCATGACTGTTAAAGTGGTATACAAGTCCTTTAAATGTGTGGTGTAGATGGGACTTTGTTCTGTAATAATGGTGTCCAAAGAGACTGGAATTTTGTGTCTTTCTCCAGAAAGCAAGTGAGTCTCACCAAATGAACATATGCCTCTATTTTTGTCTTCTTATTTACACTGTATTCAATTTCAGGAGCCAGGCTCCCCCCCCCTTCCCCCCTCAGGATGGGATTTCATTGCTAGATGGACTCTTTCATTGCCCAGCAGCACTCATTAACTTCTAAAGTGAGCCGGGACATTATTTGTGGCCACTGTTTCTAGCCGTTCTTGATGCCTCCTGCTCTTAACCCTGTCATGATGGAAATCAAAGAGGAAGGCAAATCTGTGTGGCAGAAGCAGCTCACCAGGTGGGGGAGGGCTGCTATGCTAGTTTGTCAGCAGGTGGGTTGCTGTTGCTTACCCAGCAAGTAAAGGGTGTTGTAGCAAGGGACATCATTGTGGTGCAAGCACATCAGCAGAAGAGGTAGATTGGTTCTGTTGGTGCATATTTTTATGCATATTGTATTATTTACGTGATGTTAGGCGCTCTGAGCCCGGCTCTGGCTGGGGAGGGTGGGGTACAAATAAAAAAATGTTATTATTAATTTATTATGTGTACTGTGATGACTAGGGTGTCAGGTCAGGAGCATTCCAGACCCTGAGATTTCATGGAGTGCGCCCTGGAAACGGAAGTTACTGTATTTTTCGCTCCATAAGACACACTTTTTTCCTCCTAAAAAGTAAGGGGAAATGTGTGTGCATCTTATGGAGCAAATGCAGGCAGCGCAGCTATTGTTGAAGCCAGAAGAGCAAGAGCGAGAGCTGCTCAGTGCCTCTTGTTCTGCTGGCTTCAGCGATAGCTGTGCAGCTTGCTCTGGCTTTTCAGGGAGGTGGGAGAAGGGCAGCCCGTCTGTCCCTTCTCCCACCTCCGAGAAAAGCCAGCAAGAGCCGCTCTATCTTTAAAGAGCGAGTGTTTCTGCGGCTCTTGCTGGCTTTTCTTGTTTTCCTCCTCCAAAAAATAGGTGCTTCTTATGGTCAGGAGTGTCTTATAGAGCGAAAAATACGGTAATTGGAAGAGGGGAGCAGAGGTGGGCAGGCACAGCCACCCAGAGTATCTATGCAAGAGTTTTTCAACCTTGGGCCCCCAGATGTTGTTGGACTACAACTCCCATCATTGCCTGAAGCCAGCTCCCCAGCCTGGGGGATCCTTGCATCTTCCATGCAGAGGAGCCGATCAAGCCAGCACAGAGGTTGTTGAGACAGGAGTGTGTACATGCTGAGAATGTGGGCATGGGAGAGCACATCTTTGTTGAAGACTCTGCTCTGCCATGTGATGCCCAAAATCTTCCAGGCATGTGGATGTTGTGCACGGCTCACTTCCATAAAGCAGCATGCTCAACACGCAGCCTGGTCGACCTTCATTTTGGTAATGGATGCACACAGATTACAACTCTGGGAGGTGGGTTTGACTGGGAGAGAGACAGTCCCAAAATCGCAAACTGAGCGAGGATTTGAATTGCAGCATCCCCGACAGTAGCCTGGCATTGCTGCCTCTCCGTTATCTCACTCTACCACTGGGCTGAGGTGAATGCGCACAGTTCTCTTTTCTGTTTCCATTCGCGAGACATCCGTGAAATGCCGCAGTTCCACGCTCGGCCTCTGGGGACACACTTGGTTCGCTCCGCTACCCATCAGCGCCCACCAGCCTCGCCATCACTCCGACCGTCGGTGGTACCCGGGGGTCCGTCCGTTTCTCTCCCACGGGGAGTCCCCACCCCTCTGCTTTTTGCTTTGTTTGCGCTAAAATGCGATGTGGTGCTGGGAAGGGCCGGAGGTGACAAAAGCGGACAGTGAAAAGTGGCTCTGCCCCGAAAGGGGAGATCCCGAGGGAGCGAACGAGAAACTGGGGGATCAATCCGTTTGCTTTAAAGTAGGAGGATGTGTAGGACTATGGCTGGCCGACACACAACCACCCGCCCCAGCGCCATCCTTCCAGCGGTCTGCAACCCGGGAGTCTTAGAAGGAACAGCCAAGATGGGAAATCTGCGGCCCTCCAGAGGCTGTTGAACTCCCATTAGCGCCAGCCAGCACGTCCAGTGGTCAGGGATGATGGGAGCGTGTAGTCCAACAACTCTGAGAAAGCCAAAAATTTGCTTCCCCTCCCATTCCTGAATTCTAGAGGGTTTCTAAAGCACTATCGATGCCGAGAAGAGCCCTAGAGTAATGCGAGGGAAATGCAATTTCTTCGCACGTGGGGCAACGCGTTGCAGCTATTTCAGTGCAACTTAAATTTGAAAAGTACTGGGGTGCAGGTCGATCTCTGCAGTGGGAGAGGCGGCTTTGTAAAAGAAACACACCCTGTTAGACGTCAGCGCCGCTCGCTCGCCTTCCCGCAGCAGGCTCGGGGTGGGGTAGGGCGGAGATGCCCCGGGCGTGTCCCGTCTCTCCCTCCGGGCTCCCTGCGCCTTTAAGGACTCCTCCTCTCCGCAATCCCCACCGAAGGGGAGGGAGCCGTCCCTGCCGAGGCGCCTTCCGTCTCCCCAGGAGCATGGGCTGGGCTGCCGAGCCAGAAGCAGCGGGGCAGCAGTGTCCGAGGCGCGCGGAGCCCGTTCTCCCTGCGCGACAGTGGCGGAGCGCGGGCCCGTCGAACTAAAGCCGTCGAGGGGCTGCCTCCAGCTAGGCGCGCCGAGCTTGGCTCCCGTCGCCGTCTTAGCCGCGATGGCTCCTCCTTGGCCGCCCAACGGGACGTGGCTGGGGGCAGCGGGCGCGGCGCCATCGGGCAACGGCAGCAACTGCTCCGGGGCGGCGGGCAGCCTGGGCCGGCAAGGGGCGTTGGGCGCCGCTCTCAGCCTGGCCGTGCTGGTGACGGTGGCGGGCAACCTGCTGGTGGTGGTGGCCATCGCCAAGACGCCGCGCCTGCAGACCATGACCAACGTGTTCATCACGTCGCTGGCGTGCGCCGACCTCATCATGGGCTTGCTGGTGGTGCCCCCGGGCGCCACGCTGGTGCTGAGCGGCCGCTGGCCCTTCGGCACCACGGGCTGCGAGCTGTGGACGTCCCTGGACGTGCTGTGCGTGACGGCCAGCATCGAGACCCTGTGCGCCATCGCCGTGGACCGCTACCTGGCCGTGACGGCGCCGCTGCAGTACGAGGCGCTGGTGACCAAGGGCCGCGCGCGCGGCGTGGTGTGCCTGGTGTGGGCCGTGGCCGCCTTTATCTCCTTCCTGCCCATCATGAACCACTGGTGGCGCGACGGCGCGGACGAGGAGGCGCTGCGCTGCTACGAGGACCCGCAGTGCTGCGACTTCGTCACCAACATGCCCTACGCCATCCTGTCGTCCATCATCTCCTTCTACGTGCCGCTGCTGGTCATGCTCTTCGTCTACGCGAGGGTCTTCGCCGTGGCCACCCGGCAGCTGCACGCCATCGAGAAGGACAAGGGCAGGTTCCTCCAAGACGCCGCCAAGGGCTCCCGTCGCAGGAGACCCTCCCGGCTCCTGCTGGCCATCAAGGAGCACAAGGCGCTCAAGACCTTGGGCCTCATCATGGGCATCTTCACCCTCTGCTGGCTGCCCTTCTTCGTGGCCAACATCCTCAAGGTCTTCGCCAGGACGCTCATCCCCGACCAGCTGTTCCGCTTCTTCAACTGGCTGGGCTACGCCAACTCGGCCTTCAACCCCATCATCTACTGCCGCAGCCCCGACTTCAGGTGCGCCTTCAAGAAGCTCCTGTGCTGCCCCAGGAGCGCCGATCGCCGCCTCCACGCGGTCTCCAAGGACCTGCGCCGCTGCCCCCGCGCCTTCAGCCCCCGGGCCCCGTCCGAGAAGGAGGGCGAGCCCATCGCCAAGGGAGCCAGAGAGGACGACGACGAGGAGGACGAGGACGTGGGCTCCAGCAGCGCCAGCAGCCGCTCCAGCAGCCGGACTGGCGAAACGAAGCTCTTGTACCTCGCCAGCAATGGGCACGGCTGCGCGCAGCGCCCCCTGCGGGAAGCCCAGCTTCAAGGCACGCAGATCACTTTGTGCCCGCAGCTGGAAGAGTAGGTGTCAGGAATGTGTCCGTGGGATGCTGAGGGAGGGGTGCCTTGAAGGTGTAGAGTAAGGTTCCTTCACCTAGTGTCCGCCGGACGTTGTTGGACTACAACTCCCATCAGCCTAGCCCATTGGCCATACTGGCAGGGGCTGATGGGAGTTGTAGTCCATAACATTTGGTCTATAGCAGTGATTGCTATAGACCAGTGGTGGCGAAACTGTGCCCTCCAGCTGTTTTGGGACTACAACTCCCATCATCCCTAGCTAACAGCACCAGTGGTCAGGGATGATGGGAACTGTAGTCCCAAAACAGCTGGAGGGCAAAGTTTGGCCACCACTGGTCTATAGCAATTGGGGGAGGGGTAAATATTGTGCTCCTCTTGTTTTCCAGCGGTGTGCCACAGGGTGGTGTGGGAGGGGACTGAAAAGGGAAGGAATCGCATGTTTACTTGGTATGTTCAATGAGGCTTGCTCCTTAATTAGCACATTTTGGATTGCACCCATCGTACTGGGACTGGTGCCCAGAAGGCTGCATCATGGACTGATTACCCAAAGCTTAGACTCTTAAGACTTACAGCAGGTGTAAAGAACCTTTGGACCTCCAGATGTTGTTGGACTACAACTCCCATCGGCCCCAGCAAGCAGGACCAATGGCCAGGGGTGATGGGAGTTGCAGTGAAATCTGGTGGGCCAAAGGTTCCTCACCCTTGCCTCAGAGTTTATGCTTTCTTTGAAGAAGGTATCAAATTTAATCTAGCATTTCTTCCGGTTAAAGAAGTCAGGTGTCAGGTGATGGGGTAACTCTGCCAGAAAGCAGTCAGAGTAGACAGCCTGGAGCTATGGGGACAAGTGATCTGAGTGGGTATAAGGAAGCTTCCTGTGGTATTTCTCTACTGCAGCATTTCAAAGAGCTGCACACTTGAAGGAAGGGCTGTGCTTGTATGGTAAAACATGCTTTGCATGCAGAAGGTTTTCGGTTTAATCCCACGAAAGCCACTGTCAGTCCATGTAGGTGAAAAGCTGGATTGGGGGCATCTGATCCTGCTTCCCATGTCGACTTAGCCTCCAACCTTGATATAAATGAATACCTGGAAGCATTATGAGTGTGACTGCCATGGTAGGTGCTGAGCACATTGTAAATAGCCCCTGGATTCAGGGAGTTATAAGCGCAGCCAAGACTGTGAAAGGGAGTTAGTGCAAGAGTAGGAATGAGGGATGGGGAGGAACCATATCAGGTGTCACAGCTGAAGGCACAAGCTGCGTGCTCACTATCATTACTCTGGCTCCAGTGTGCTCTCACCACTGGTGTTTGAAGCTGTGTACACATGACATTGGCCACAATCCACATCTATCCTGGACTTCCTTGAGAAATACTGGTGTTTGATGTGTTTTCCCTCAAACTAGGTCACTGTGCAGTTAAGCTGAGGTGTGTACATTTGAGATAGCTGTTTGACACGTGCAGATGACAGCCTCCTGAATAGGAATTGTCGGGAGGGGTTTGCAACCAACAGGTAGTATGCACTGGGTGAAGACATCCTCCACCCTCTCTGATGGTTGCAACATTTGCAACATGCAAATGCGACCTGAAATGCAGCCCCAGGTGGGTGGCTGGGTGGCAATCATGTTTCGTTTTAAGTCTCTACTGTGTAGATAGCCGCAGTGAGTTTATGTAGTTGGGGGTCTCCTTGTTTTGATCTTGGCTTAACTTACTGAAACTTTCTAGTACATGGGTAGGCAAACTAAGGCACGGGGGCTGGATCCGGCCCAATTGCCTTCTAAATCCGGCCTGCGGGCGGTACGGGAATCAGCATGTTTTTACATGAGTAGAATGTGTCCTTTTGTTTAAAATGCATCTCTGGGTTATTTGCGGGGCATAGGAATTTGTTCATTCTCTCCCCAAAAAAATTATAGTCTGGCCCCCCACAAGGTTTGAGGAACAGTGGACCGGCCCCCTGCTGAAAAAGTTTGCTGACCCCTGTTCTAGTACTTTCCATTCTTTGGCTGTTGTGCTGCAAGTTCCTGTATATTAGAAAAATGAAAACGTTCAGTGCATGTAAAATTCAGCCTCCAAAAGAAAATCTGGCTGGAGGTGAGGGATTATGACACAACCTTAGGGGAAAAAACATACTCTATATGTTGCACAGAATGTATGTATAGGAGCACCTACCATTTTTGTTAAATAAAGTACAGAAAGTTGAAGGGGGAGAATCTGGAGCAGAGACAGAGGCGGATTTAGGGGAGCAAGACTGGTTCACCCACACTAGGCGCCAGGCAGAGAGGTTGCTGCAGGAGACGCTGCAACAATGAGTTAGAATGGAAGGCAAGGGGGTGTGCCAAATTTTGGTGCTGCACAGGATGCCACTGAAATTTGAAAGCCCAAAGTCTGTCACTGGCAGAGATGTGGTATGTGTCTATGCATGACTGTGTGCCCTCGATCCTTCTCCCACTCCTCTTTTTCTACTCCAAGTTGCACCCCCTATAGAATTCCCAATGCATGTCAATAGCCTTTCAAATGTAATATCATTTCACTATGGGTATAACCAGCCATCCGTTTACCCTACAACTTTCCCCCAGGAAAATCTGTGATTTAGCACTGATTCAGAACAAATGGCAATCAGGTTCTTCACAGATTGCCATTTGTTCTGATTTAGCACTAAAGAGTGGTGGTTTTTTTTAGGATATTATCATCATCATCATTTAGATATATATACCACCCTATATCAAAATACCCTAGGGCGGTGTACAATATTAAGAACGTATTTTACAGAGCATAAGGAAAACAATACAGAGCATTATAATAGGCAGTGTACTAATAAAATCACCATAACAGGAAAGCAGCAGGGCAAAGGCTCCACTTGGATCCATGCCTGGAAAATGTGGGACAAGCAGAAAACTGCTTGGACCCGTACTTTCTAAGCACGAGTCAAGCGGAAGTGTGGACGAGCCCCTCAACAAGAGGTTGAGCATGTCAGCTTAATTAAGCAAATGATGAATGCAGGTGTGCGTCCCATTTCACTGCTGCGCATAAGCTCATCTCCCAGCTCACAGAGCCAAATTTACCAGTTTCTGGAAATCACAGGTGAGGAGAGTTTTGCTGTGCTCAGGTCTTGCTTGCTTGCAGGCTTCCCACCAGCATCTGGCTGGCCACTGTGAGTACAGGATGCTGAACTAGATGGGCCTTTGGTGACGGTCCAGTAGGTCTCTTATTGTGTTGTGCTTGGCTTTGGATACTATACAGCAGGAGCCATGTAAGTCTGCCTCAACATGATGCGGTTGGCTGGTGTAGATTGAGTTGCTATGCAACTTATCTTGCAGCTGCTGTCATTTTCGAAGGCAAAAGTTCACACATCTGTGTTTTAAATACAGATGAGGTAGTTCCTCACCCCCTGCTGTGTTTGGGGAAACAAAGCCGCTATCGTCTATGACAGCTTCCAGTCTTTGCTGTCGCTCAGTTCCTCTTCTTTCACTGCCAGGGACAAATTAAGAGGATGAATGTGCAAAATCCAGCATCCATCTCAGCTTCCAGTGAGAACAAATCTCTTTGCATCTTGGTTGCTCACTCCAGGCAACTTCTACTTGGCACACTCAAGTGGCAAATGGTATACTGTAGATGCCTTTGGCCCCTTGTCACCCAAGACACTAAAACAGACGTGGGGAGACAGTAGCCTCTAGATCAGCCACCCCCAAACTCGGCCCTCCAGATGTTTTGGGACAACTCCCATCATCCCTGACCACTGGTCCTGTTAGCTAGGGATGATGGGAGTTGTCCCAAAACATCTGGAAGGCCGAGTTTGGGGATGCTGTTGGACTCCAGCTCCCATCAGTCCTAGCCAATGTAACCAATGGCCAGGGATGATGGGTACTGAAGTCCAACAATACCTGGGGGTGGGGCACAGTCTCCTCATTCCTGTGCTGAAGAGTGCCTCTGTCTCTTATTTGTGGCCTGTTTCAATCTCGCTAATGTGCAATGAGGACACATTGTGTGGAAGACCAAGCAATTATACCACTTCATGTTAATTTAAAGCAGAGTCTGTTGTGCCCAGCGGAAGGATGAGAATACGTGCTCCATACTCCATATAGCTTTATTTACAGTTCAAAGCTGGTATATTACAGAAAGACATCTTGCCTCTGCAAGAGCAGAAAAATGCATCCTCTCTCCTCGACAGCTTGGAGAGAATCACACAGTGAAAAACAGGAAACCAGTGTACGTCACATCCAGTCTCCTTTCCTGTGAGAAACTCCAACAGTACAGACTGTGGAATGTAAACACCTGTCTCGTGACATGCAGAGCTGCACAGTGAAGGAAAGCAGAAACCAACATCCTCCCCTTTCTGTGAACATCACTGGGCAGCGTGTTTGCACAATATCAGTACAAACCCAACTTCTGCACATAGGTACAGTGTTGATCCCTTGATACAATCTTGGACAATACATCAGCAGGAATTTCATTACCTGGCATATAGGACACCGTTACGAGTCCCTTCTGAATACATTCCCTAGCATGCTGCAACTTTAATTGCAAGTGCTTTGTGCTTTGCTTACAACCTTCAGACTTCAGCAAAGCCAAACATGCTTTGTTGTCCTGGTAAACCTGGATTGGACATTTGACAGGAATTTTCATATCTTTGCACAATTGTACTAACCATTCACAATCCTTAAGTGAATAAGACAGTGCATTCAGTTCAGCTTCACAAGTACTTAAGCTAACTGTTGTTTGCTTCTTGCATGACCAATCAAACAGACTCTGATTGTACATGTAGCAAACTCCAGACGTACTTTTCCTGTCTGTAGCGTCACTTCCAAAACTTGCATCTGCAAATATCTCAAGACCACCAGACTTCTGATTGTTAAATCTCAGTCTGTAATGCATAGTGCCTTTCAAATACCGCGCTATGCGTTTCAGAGCTTTCCAATCCTTGACACTAGGATTGTTGACTTGTCTGCTTAGCAAATTACAGCTAACAGCAATGTCTGGTCTTGAACATCTGGCAATGAAGTTTAGCTTGCCTAGCACACTCCTGTACAGTGTAGTGTCAGAAAATGCTTCTTCAGTGTCATCTACCTGATAACCTGTTGTCATCGGTGTGTCTACAGGGTTAGCATCCATCAGATTTAGTTTGCTTAACACATCAGCAATTTTCCGTGACTGGTGTACTAGAATGTTACCATCTTGATCTCTCTCTATTTCCAGAGATAGGTAGTTGTTTACCTCACCAAGATCTTTCATGTCAAAGTGCTCTTTCAGTTGAGCTAGGGCGCTATTGTACATTGCAACATCTTTCCAAAAGAATAATAAATCATCAACATAAAACAAACAGTACAGTTTCTTTTGCCCCTCCTCTTTGACAAATACACATGGATCAGCTTTCCCTTGCTGAAAACCTAGAGAAAACAATACTTCAGTGAGTTTTGTGTGCCAACACCGTGCACTTTGTTTGAGACCATAAAGGGATTTCTTCAGAGCACAAACAAATCCCTGTTTTACCTGTACGCCATCAGGTGGAAGCATATAAAGTGATTCATCTAGAGATCCGTACAGAAAAGCTGTATTAATATCATGGTGACTAATGTGTAGATTTTCCTCTGCAGCTAGCTTGAGCATAAGCCTAATGCTTTCATATCTCACTGTGGGTGAATAGGTCTCGTGATAGTCTTCACCTGGTACCTGTGCAAAACCTCTGGCTACCAATCTGGCTTTGTGTCTGACTATCTTGCCATTTTGATCTGTCTTCGCTTTGAAGACCCATTTGCTTCCAAGCAGTTTCATTCCTGGAACTACTGGAACTAGCTCCCATGTTTTGTTCCTTTCTAAGGAATCAAGCTCAGCCTTCATGGCATTTAACCATGGCTCAGCTTCCTTCGAATCCAAACCCTGGATTTCTTGGAAACTTGAAGGTTCAAATACCTTCTTGGAGCTTTTAACAGCTGTTACTGCTATCTTAGCAAACTCATCAGCAAATCTCTTTGGAGGTTTGCCTTTTGTGGCTCTCTGTGACCTACGAATTATCCTTAAGTCTTCAACACTCTCCTCTTCCTTCTTAGGAGAAAAACGACCTATTGTGAACAATGGTTCCTCCAATTCTTGATCAGAGCTTTCAGAGGGTCGCATAGAGGCTTTCGCACTCTTGAAATCCTCTGAATCACCCGATTCAGTTTCAGATTCAGACTCAGAACCTTCATCAGTGGGTGTGGGCTGTTGTGGTTGCTTTTGACTATCCTCAGTCTCATCACCGTCATCAGGATAACATTGGAAAATTCCCACATTCTCCCCCACTTTGCATTGTACTCAACACTTCTCGTGAGCTTAATTGTCTTAGAGTCAGTCATCATTATTCTGTAAGACCCTTTCTGATAACCTAGAAAGATACCATGCAATCCACGCTTGTCTAACTTGGAGTTTTGTGGTGAGCGAACCCACATGTCAGAACCAAAAATCTTCATGTGTTTGATGTATGGCTTCTTGCCAAACATCTTCTCATAGGGGGTACATCCAATCGCTGAAGATAACCTGCGATTGTAACTGTAAACAAAACACGAGAGAGATTCGGCCCAATAACTCTCTGGAAGATTGGCATCATGCAGCAAGGTTTTTAGACCTTGAAGCAATGTCTGATTTGCCCGTTCCGCAAGTCCATTCTGCCATGGCGAGCGAGGACTAGACAAATCGTGTTGAATTCCTTTCTCAGTCAGAAAAGCTTCAAACTGCTGAGAAGTGAATTCCCCCCCGCGATCACTGAAAAGAGTCTTTATCTTCTTACCATGCACATTTTCCAACCAAGCACAGAATTCCTTGAACCTAGGAAAAGCCTCCGATTTCTGCTTGAGATTGTACACAAAAATATATCTAGAAAATGCATCAATGAGAACCATGAAGTATCTATTTCCACCCAAAGAGGGCGCTAGTGGTCCAACCAAATCAGCATGAACAACCTGGTATGGTTCTGTAGCTGTCCTACTAGACACCTTACCTTTCGCAGCCATTTTCACCTTGTTTGCTGCGCATGCTTTGCACTTCATGTGGTACCTGCAGGGTTTAATAGTCATACCTTCAACCAAGGCAGGCATTTTAGATACTGCCTCAAAATGCAAATGACCAAATTTGCGATGAAAATCGTGAATACATTCTGCATGCAAACTTTTGTTAGAACCTGCAATGCAACAAGTGTCATCCTGCACCACATCATCATAATACAAAACAAACAAATGATCAACATATTCTGCATGCAATACATAATCATTTTTCTTTGTGATGATGCACTTCTTGTTCTTGAAGGAAACGTCAATGTTCCGCTCATTCAGCTGTCCAACGCTGAGCAGATTATGTTTGGCGTCTGGCACGTAAAGCACATTCTGTATCGATAAGTCCAAACTGTGAAGAACAACAGTTCCGTAGCCTTTACTGGGAATAGTGTGGTCATCCGCCTGGTGAATCGCACCTTCCTGCGGTGTAAAAGACACAAACAGTTTCTTATCGTTGCACATGTGGTGGGTGGCCGCTGAATCAACAACGAAGAAAGATCTAGACGTCTTCTGGACCTCTGCAACCTTTGGAGTGAAGCGTGAAACCATAGCCTTGTGCTGCGTTGTCCTAGACACCGGACCTTTGCCTTTGCCTCGGCCTTTTCCGCGTGATGAGCTTTCGCTGCGCTGCTCTGTCTTGGCCCTGGGATGTCTGCATTCCCTCTTCATATGGCCTAGACGTCCACACGAGTAGCATTTGACTGCCTTCAAAGCTTTGGCGCCATCTGGTGGTTCCACTGCACTATGGGATGACGTCTGTGAAGACTCTCCCTTGCCCATGCAGCTAGCACCCCGGCGATCTGCTTCATTTAAAATCACGGCAGTAACAAAGTCCACTGTCAGCTGAGCAGTTGGTTGCACAGCAATCTGGGTTGCAACAGACTCCCAACCTGAACCCAAAGATTGTAGTATCATGAAAGAATACACAGCCTCTGGAAAGTTGAGTCCTCTCTGTTGCAGCTCATGTCTCAGATTTTGCATCTGCATCAGATGTAAACGCACATCTCCACCTTCAGCAAGAGCCATATTATGCAGCTTGTTAAAGTAAAACATAGTTGATCCAGCTTCTGTCCTTAAGTGAGCCTCTCTCAGAGCGTCCCAAATTTCTCTGGCTGAGGTCTTATCACGCAATAGACAGAGCTCTTCTGGGGATACTATCAATGTAAGAGTTCCCCTTGCTTTGGAATCCTTAGCTTCCCATGCATCTGTAACTGGAACTGGGGGTTTCTGTAATCACCTCAAACAAACCCTCTTTCCGCAGAATTGCCTCTGCATACTGAACCCAGTCGCTGTAATTTTTCTTGTTGAGCTTAGGAATCCCACAAGCATCCTGAAGGGCCATCATGACTCTGGCATTAGCCTTCAGCGTCATATGCTGCTTTAAATCTTGCTGCGTCACTGCTGCAGCTGCCTCATTACAAAGGCACACTTAAAAGTTACTTCGATTTCCCCAGCATAGTGACTTGTGCCTGGGAGCCTTTTGCCTATTCTGCAAAACCGGCTTTAAAAGTTCAAAGTCCAGCCATAAAGCCATTATCTTGAAGCTGGCAGGCTGCCCGGAGCAGTAGCACATACCTCATCAATCACTTCTACGCGCAGAGCAGATTCCGTTCCGATCCGTTCCTCTGCATTCCGATCCTCTGCCGGCAGTCCGATTCGACCTCTGGGCCCATAACCACGTGTTAATTTAAAGCAGAGTCTGTTGTGCCCAGCGGAAGGATGAGAATACGTGCTCCATACTCCATATAGCTTTATTTACAGTTCAAAGCTGGTATATTACAGAAAGACATCTTGCCTCTGCAAGAGCAGAAAAATGCATCCTCTCTCCTCGACAGCTTGGAGAGAATCACACAGAGTGAAAAACAGGAAACCAGTGTACGTCACATCCAGTCTCCCTTTCCCGTGAGAAACTCCAACAGTACAGACTGTGGAATGTAAACACCTGTCTCGTGACATGCAGAGCTGCACAGTGAAGGAAAGCAGAAACCAACACTTCAAACAGCCATAAGGTAAAGGGACCCCTGACCATTAGGTCCAGTCATGGCCAACTCGGGGGTTGCGGTGCTCATCTCGCTTTACTGGCCGAGGGAGCTGGCGTACAGCTTCCGGGTCATGTGGCCAGCATGACTAAGCTGCTTCTGGCGAACCAGAGCAGCGCACGGAAATGCCGTTTACCTTCCCGCCGGAGTGGTACCTATTTATCTACTTGCACTTTGATGTGCTTTTGAACTGCTAGGTTGGCAGGAGCTGGGACTGAGCAACGGGAGCTCACCCCGTCGTGGGGATTCGAACCGCCGACCTTCTGATCGGCAAGTCCTAGGCTCTGTGGTTTAACCCACAGTGCCACCCGCGTCCCTCAAATAGCCATAGATCCCCCCAAATACTGGGAGATGTAGTTTGTTAAGGGTGCTGAGAGTTGCTAGGAGACTCCAATTCCTCCTGCAGAGCTTCTGTTCCCAGAGTTCCCAAGGAATAGGGAATGACTTTGAAATCACTCTGAGAACTGGACTAATTTATTAGGGCTTGTCTTCTGTTTCTAGGAAACTTCCCTCCCCCCAGATGTTGCTGGATACACCCCCGACCATTAGACATTCACCCTTCACCCAGCAGATGCATCCCATCATGTGTTTCAGGGTGAACACTGACATGTGTAAAAGGGCATTCTAACTACGGTATATTTGTGAAGAGTCATGATGTAGCTGTAGCTCCCTGGCAACTCATATTCACCGGTTCATAGAAGGCGGCTTTATCTGTCTGTCTACTCCAAGTGTGACTAACTTTTGGCTCTCCAAATGTTGTTTGACTAAAACTCCCCATCAGCTCCAGCAAGCATGGCCAATAGCCAGGGGTGACTAGAGTTGTAGTTTTGCAACATCTGGAGAGCTACAGGTTCACCACACCTGATCTAACCCAATCTAGGACTAGCCAACGTGGTGCTCACCAGTTGTCACTGAGCTACAACATCCATCATCCCTGACCATTAGCCATGCTGGCTGGGGCTGATGGGAGTTGCAGTCCAAGAGCATCTGCATGGATACCAGTTACTAGTCCAATATTCTCTAGTCTGACTGGCAGTAAGCTTTCTGGGGATTCAGACACAGAAAAGCCTTTCCCATTGCCTGCGACTGATCTACTTATAACTAGGGATACTTTCCAGAGATTAGGAACTTTGGGAGCTGCCTTATACAGTGGTACCCCAGGTTAAGTACTTAATTCGTTCTGGAGGTCTGTTCTTAACCTGAAACTGTTCTTAACCTGAAGCACCACTTTAGCTAAAGGGGCCTCCTGCTGCCGCCGCGCTGCCGGAGCATGATTTCTGTTCTTATCCTGAAGCAAAGTTCTTAACCTGAAGCACTATTTCTGGGTTAGCAGAGTCTGTAACCTGAAGCGTCTGTAACCCAAGGTACCACTGTATTGAGTCAGTCAGTTTGCCCATCCAGCTCAGTATTTTCTAAATATCTACACAGTCTGGCAGTGCCTCTCTTTCAGGTTTCGGACAGGGCTCTTTTCCAGACCTACCTGGAGATGTTGAGGGTTGAACCTGGGAGCTTCTACATGCAAAGCACATGCCCTAGTACTGACCTATAATCCTTTCCCAACGATTAAGAAATGGGAGAAGCTGCCTTATGCTGAGTCAGATCATTGATCCATCATCTAGTTCAGGATTGTCCACCCTGGCTGGAAGCGGCTCTCCAGATTTCCACACGGGTCTTTTACAGCCCTATCAGTAGGTGTCAGGTATTGAACTTGGGACCTTCTACATGCAAAGCAGCTATTCTACCACTGAGCTATGCGTCTTCATCAGTTTAACCATATAAGTTAACCAGACTTGGGACTTCCCTATCAAGATTCTAAGACATTTAACTGGTAGGATTATTTAGATGGCATAGTACTATCTCAGGACTGTAAAGACACAAACAGGGTGGATTGGTTTTTTGGTTCTTAAAGTTGGTGCTGGATTCTTAAAGTGAGGGCTGCTGTAAGTCTGAGTTCTTAATCTGATGTCCCAGGACTTTTTGCACATGCTCTTCCATTGAGCCATGGCCCTTTCTACATCTCAGAGTGACTCAGCCCCAATATATCTCAGTGGGCAAAGCGTCCTTTGGTCCAAACTATACATTTCACACAAATGTGAGCAGGAGAAGCCAGCTCATGTTGGGGTGGGGTGAACTGGTGGGAGGAGGACCCTGAGGAACATAGGAAGCTGCCTTATACTGAGTGAGAACCTTGGTCCATTGAGCCCACCATTGTCTACCCTAGCAGACAGCAGCATCTCTAGGGATCTCTCCCATCCCTACCTGAGAGATGCTGGGGGTTGAACCAGAGTCCTTCCAGATGCAAAGCAGATGCTCTACCACTGAACTACAACTCTTCCCCATCTCCACCCTCCACCCCCAGGGCTTCAAATGTGTGTTTGCCCTGGTCAGCCCTCTCAAAAGGCACATACACATAGCATGACAATATGCATTTAGTGCTGGATGCGAGTGCTTTTTGGGGGTGCTGTACACATGACATCATCCCCAAGTCATCCCTGGCCCACACTACTTGCCAATATAAAGTGCATTCTTCTGGGCTGGGTATAATTCATTTTGTGCCAGTAATGTACTTCTTGAGCACTTACTGCCTGGCTGAGTACTATACAGAGAGAACTTTCTTGGGTTGCTTATACTTACCAGTCCCCTTCAAAATAGGACGCAGTACAGTAACTCTGTATACCAATATAGTATACCAACACACCAAATTCCAGCTCCTCTCTTTTGAAAGGTTGGGGGAAATGATTTTTTTTTTTAAAAAGGACTGTGGAAACACTAATTGAGAGGTGGAAATTAGTGAAAATGTGCTCATCTGTGTGTACAGATGACATAGAAGTAGCTGCTGCTTTAGATTAGTTACAGGTAGGTAGCCATGTTGGTCTGCTGTAGTCGAAACAAAAGAAGTGTGCATGCACACGAAAGCTCATACCAATAAGAAACTTAGTTGGTCTCTAAGGTGCTACTGGAAGGAATTTTTATTATTATTATTTTGTTTCACTTTAGATTAGGTTATTGTGCAAAGGTGGGTTTACTTGCTAGCCACTATATGCAAGGGCAGCCTGTGAAAAAATGTCCTTTGTGTGTTTCAAAGGCTACACATGTGCACAGCCTAAGTGGTTTCTTCAGCAAAAGGAGGATCTTGGCATACATTGCTGAACTGAGAACTTATTTATTGCTATTTGATTTGATTTTTATCCTGGCATTTTAAAAAAAGTGAACAGCTGTATTTTTATCGCAAGCTTTCCTGCTTCTACCCCCCCCCCTCTGCTTACCCTCCCCCTCCCTATCTGTGCACATTTACAGATTGGACATAAATTACAGAATAGCTTCGCTTACATCCAGTGTCCATATAAAATGTCAAAAATAGGCCTATAGGACATCTCAGCATACTAAAGTCTGCAAATAAGATATTAAGAATAGCATTACTAATAAAGAAAGAAACAAAAGCACATTCCGTTCTTAACACTGCACTGAGCTTGCTTCTTAGACTCTTTTAGAATATCTTGAAATGTATCTTCTTCCTGGAGTCTGAAATATCAGCCCCATTTGTAAGCAGAAAGTTCCAAAAGGTCTCAAAACCAGGGTTCAACAGTGGGGACAGTCAGCGTCTTTCAGTTTTATAGGAGGATAGGCTTGGCCACCAATATGTGTCTGGACTGTGTCCTCGTCTCTTCAACGGACAGCTCCGGTTTGAGGCAAACATGCCCCCACAAAAGGGTGCATGTCCTTAATTTCCAATGATTCCTCTCATACCATGTTGCATGCTGCTTTGAAAGCTGGAAAAACAAGATGTAAATAATGGGGTTTTTTTCCAGTGCTAGCCCTACTCAGAGTAGACCCATTGCAGTTAATGGACAAAGCTAAGACAGGCTCATTAATTTCAGTGGGTCTGTTCTGAGTAGAACTTAGCTGGCTACATTGCACTGTCACAAGCGCTTGCATTTATTCCTTTATTTCATTTTACATCCTTCCTTTCTTCAGTGCAACCGAAGAAGTTCCCAGAAGGTCTTCTGTCTAGATCAGGGGATGGAGAACCTCACGCCCTGAGACCAGCTATGGCCCTCCAAGCCTCTCTTATCTGGCCCTCATTGCTCCCCCTACACCACACAACCATCCTTGGCCAAAATCCTCAGAGGCCCTGCTTTGCACCCGAAGTGTTTTTGCCTGACTGGAGCATGTCTTTGATCTCCAATAATGACTCTGGATGGAGACTAGAGACGGCCGTGTAGGAACTAACCTATCATTACAAAGGTACAATGGTACATCTGTCGCTCCATCCACTTTTGCCTCTGGCCTTGCCCACTGTCAGTGTAGCCCCCAGAAGGCTAGGTGGCCCTTGGGCTGGAAGATCTCCCCACCTCAAACCATTTAGCTTTAGCTGTTAGCCTATATAGAGTGAGTTGGAAGAGATCACGAGGGTCATATGGTCCAGCTCCCTCCAAAAGGAGGAATCTTTTGCCCAACGTGGTGCTTGAACCCACAATCTTGAGATTAAGTCTCATGCTCTACTGCCTGAGCTATCCCCCCCCACCCCAACACACACACTTCAAGTGAGTCAGACCATTGACCTCTGGAGTTTAATACTGTCCTTTCTGAATGGCAGAGCTGACATACTCTGTCAGGAAATGTCAAGGTTTAAACCCTAGGCATGCAAAGTATGTAGTCTGCCTCTGAACTAGGGGTCTCCACAGCAACATCTTCAACCCATTACACTCTTTCCCCCAACTTTCCCAGTACTTACAGTTACATTCTTTCCCTCACCTCCTCATGCCTCCGTACAGATGGCCATATGCATTTCGTTCTTGTGGTTGGGTATTTTTGCATCAATCTCATGCTGTCTTCTTGCCCGTACTTCTAAGTTTGATCTTATTTTCTGAGAAAAAACAGGGTTGAGGGGGTTGATTTGCAGGTGAGATCATGAAGCAAGCCAAGCGTAGATTTTTCTAAAAGGAGTCAGACACTGAAAGAGGGTACCTACATGAATGGATGCATGCATCCAGGTGCAGTGGTACCCAAACTGAAAAAGTGGGCTGGGCTAGAGCCACTGATAACAAATCTAATGTAATAAGAGTCTTCTGGATCATGTTAATGGGGATAGCTCAGTCAGAAGAGCATGAGACTCTTAATTTCAGGGTTGTGGGTTCAAGCCCCACATTGGGCAAAATATTCCTGCATTGCAGGGGGTTGAACTAGATGACCCTCTGGGTCCCTTCCAACTCTACAATTCTATGATTCTATATACTTCTTGAATACAATCAACCCTAAGTGGTCCAGCGCCAAGGGCCTTCTGGCAGTTCCCTCACTGCAAGAAGCCAAGTTACAGGGAACCAGGCAGAGGGCCTTCTTGGTAGTGGCACCAACCCTGTGGAATGCCCTCCCACCAGACGTCAAAGAGAACAACAACTACCAGACTTTTAGAAGACATCTGAAGGCAGCCCTGTTTAGGGAAGCTTTTAATGTTTGATGCATTACTGTATTTTAATACTTTGTTGGAATCCGCCGAGAGTAGCTGGGGAAGCCCAGCCAGATGGGCGGGGTATAAATAAATTATTATTATTATTATTATTATTATTATTATTAGGAACTGAGTACAATGGTATTCTCCCCATCTGTGTGATCTCCAGAAGATGGTATTCAGAGGCATAAAAAGTAAAGTAAAGGGACCCCTGACCATTGGGTCCAGTCGTGGCCAACTCTGGGGTTGCGGCACTCATCTCACTTTATTGGCCGAGGGAGCCGGCGTACAGCTTCCGGGTTATGTGGCCAGCATGACTAAGCCGCTTCTGACGAACCAGAGCAGGGCACGGAAACGCCGTTTACCTTCCCCGCCGGAGCGGTACCTATTTATCTACTTGCACTTTGACGTGCTTTCGAGATGCTAGGTTGGCAGGAGCTGGGACTGAGCAATGGGAGCCCACCCCATCGTGGGGATTCGAACCGCAGACCTTCTGATCGGCAAGCCCTAGGTTCTGTGGTTTAACCCACAGCGCCACCCGCGTCCCTATTCAGAGGTATACTGCCTCCCAAATGTGGATGTGGAACACAGCTGTCCTGGATAATTGTTAGCTTTATCCTCCATGAATTTGTCTAAGCCTCCACGTTCCTGGAAGGAAATTCTGTAGTTTAACTATGTGCTTTGTGAAGAGGTACTTTCTTTTGTGTATCCTGAATCTTTCAGCATTCAGCTCCACTGAATGTTCCCAAGTTCCAATCTGCTCATCTTCTGCATGACAGCTCTTCAGACATGCCTCTTCCTTACATTAATACCAGTAACACATTAAATAAAACTTACCAGTTTTTGGACACACCCCTCAGAGGGGCCCATTTCAGCTTATCTTAATTAATTTCAGAAGACTTTTTATGGGTAGCAATGTGGGGCAGTGCTTAGAATGCTGGACCAGGACTTGGGAGGACAGGATTCCAGTCCCTACTCAGCTATGAAGCTCACTAGGTGACCTTGGGCTGGTCAAGACTGAGACAGCCAAACCTACCTCACAGGGTTGTTGTGAGGCTAAAATGGAGAGGGCCACCTTCACCTGCATGGGGGAAAGGTGGGATACTGTGTATATGTAACAATGAAAGAAATACAATACGAAATGTGCCCATGACAGACTAAACAGAGGACGAGGGAGAGTACACTTTGAGGATTTGCTGTACGGGCAAATCTGCTCTGATCAGATGCAACTTGTGCTTTAAAACACCTGCTTCCAACAAGACCCAATTCTCAATGCTTTAAAAGACTGGCTAAGAAAAAAACCTGACTGGTAAACTGAACTGTTTTTATTCTTGTTGCCTTTTTCTTTTCAAAAAAAGATTTCCCACCAAAGAAGTGACAGATTGTCCTAGAATGTGAGAGAAGGAAGAAGCCAAAGAAAATACAGTGAGTATCCCTTTGAAACTCTGAGCCAAATATGCAGGTTGTTTGATAGATTCTGCATTTGAACGCAGACTCAGTTGCCTTTGCTTTGGTAGCCTTCAGGATAGATTATTACAATCTGTTATACATGGGACTTCCTTAGAAGATTGTTCAGGATGACATGTTCTGTTTGCTGATGCTCCAAGGATGCAGTGGTGGCAGAAAAATTACAGTGGTACCTAGGGTTAAGTACTTAATTCATTCCGGAGGTCCGTTCTTAAACTGAAACTGTTCTTAACCTGAAGCACTATTTCTGGGTTAGCGGAGTGTAACCTGAAGCATATGTAACCTGAAGTGTATGTAACCTGAGGTACCACTGTACTGTTGGGCCAATAGTGGGTATAACCTGTATTTCAGAAGTGAGAAACCTCCTGCTCAGGAACCCAGTTTGGCCTGTTAAGCCAATTTCCCCAAACCACAGCCACCTGACATTATATGCAATTATATGCAACATAAGGGATGCGGCCAGTGAAGACACAACTGGGTCCTTTGCCTGGAAAACAGAGTTGAAGTCCCTGTGCATCAACTGAGGGTTGGGCATTTCAATCCTGCTTGCTTACGGTGCTCAATCTAGTTCTCCAGAGGAAACTCACTGGTGCACTTGAACTCTGCTCGCTCTTTTCCCTCACCCCTGCAGGCCAACTTTGTCAGGAGGACAGAACCACCCACCTGCCAATCACCTGACATCATTAGATTGCCCTGTGTCAAAGTTGGCCCATGGGGTGTGTTGAGGGGGAGGAAGATCTAGCCTGGTAGGCCAAAAAGGTTCCCCACCCCTGCTATATTTGGTCACGCAATATAAACTGGGATCCTTTCCTTGGGGCTGCTTTGCAGCGGAATTCTTCTTAGCATTTTGCTGTCTATGTCAAGCTGGATTTTCGGTTTCGTGTTCTAGGTGGATATATTAAGCAGTGTTATATTGTACAGTTGTACCTTGGTTCTTGAACAGCTTAGTTCTCAAATGTTTTGGCTCCCGAACATCACAAATCTGGAAGTGAGAGTTGCAGTTTGCAAACTATTTTTGGAAGCCAAACATCTGAAGGGGCTTCTGCGGCTTCTGATTGGCTGCAGGAACCACAGCACAATCACAGAACCTTCAAGAGAGACAAACAGGCTGGACAGTTTTTGTTTTTTTAAAGTTGGAGCTGGACGGATGTTTGGGCTGCTGTAAGCCTGAGTTCTTAATCTAAAGCTTTGGTGACTGCATGTGGATGTTGGACTGGACAAGAAGGCAGTCCAGAGGCAGGGATCGTAAGCGCAGGGAAAACATCAGAAGCGCTTTCTGTCGTCAAGCTTACCCAGAGAATTTTATCTTTCCTGCTTACACTCGTAATCTTCTTAGCGCTCCCAGGATCCAAATGCCATATTTGGAATTTGGAAGGCATATCTGATTTTGTTCTATGCCTGAGGCTTTTAATTTAAGATGCTTTGGTGCTTTGTTTATAGTGAGTGACTAATAAGTATTATTATTAGCTGTTATTACTATTTCAATTGATATCCTTCTGTTCTTCCCAAAGGAACCCAGGGTGACAAAGACATTAACACCAACAACAGCAATCTAAAAGCATTCTAAAAATAGTGATCTCCGAGGTGGACAGGAAAAGTGTTTCTTAGCCGTCAAATGCCTGGAAGGTTTTCAAATTCCTCCTGAAAGAAGGAGACAGATGAACCTCACCTGGGAGGGTTTTCCACAAACAGGGAACTGCCACTGAAAAGGCCCCGTCAAAGGTCCCTGGGAACCAAGAAACCATTTCACCAGCTGGTTGTGGAGATGGTTGATATTGGGGAAGCCACTGTTTTAGGTACTCTGCTCCCGAGTCATTTGTATGCCCATACTAACACCTTGTGGGATGTGGGTGGCGCTGTGGGTTAAACCACAGAGCCTAGGACTTGCCGATCAGAAGGTTGGCAGTTTGAATCCCCGCGACGGGGTGAGCTCCCGTTGCTCAGTCCCAGCTCCTGCCCACCTAGCAGTTCGAAAGCACGTCAAAGTGCAAGTAGATAAATAGGTACTGCTCCGGCGGGAAGGTAAACGGCGTTTCCGTGCGCTGCTCTGGTTTGCCAGAAGCGGCTTAGTCCTGCTGGTCACATGACGCGGAAGCTGTATGCCGGCTCCCTCGGCCAATAAAGCGAGATGAGCACCGCATCCCCAGAGTTGGTCACGACTGGACCTAACGGTCAGGGGTCCCTTTACCTTTTACTAACACCTTGAATTAGGACCAGTACATTAAAAGTAACAGGGCTTCTCTCAAAGCATCCTGGTAACTGTAGTTTGTTGATGGTGCTGGGAATGGTAGCTCTGTGGGGGTGAACTACAGTTCCCAAAATTCTTTGGGGAAAGTAATGTGCTTTAAATGTATTTAAAGTATTATTGACTTTCAGGATTTTATTTTTTAAACAAATCCTGTTTATCCCAGCATTTGATGGCTGAAAGACACTGTTACTGGCATCCCTGAGATCACCATTTGTTTGTTTTTCAAAAAGTGTTTTATCATTGATGTGTTTTCTGCTCTGGGCTCCTTCAAAAGCAAGGGTGGGATATAAGTTAAAATAATAATATGAATAATCCAATGTTGTGGTTAGAGTTTCGGACCCAGACCTGGGAGAGCAAGGTTCAAGTCCCCATTCTTCCATGAAGATCACTGGGTGATCTCAGGCCAGTCACTGCCTCTCAGGGTTGTTGTGGGGATTAAATGGGGGGGGGGGGAGAACCACAGATGCCCCCTTGAGCTCCTTGGAGAAAATGATGGGGTATTAATGCAAGGAATAAAATAATAACTAAATGACAATGTTGTGAATGTGCCCCGTTCCCTTGTTGGTCTGGGGATACTGAAGGGAACATTCAGCTGAACAATACATGGGGACCCTTGCAGACCTTCCCCCTGAGTGGAAGAAGGATAGGAGTCAGGGTATAGCAGTCGTGGGTAGGAATTTTGTGGTTGGGGACAGTGGTTCCCACTCTCGTTGTGTGACTGCCTGCATCCACAGAACACATTTATTTAGAAGCCTCTTCGTCAAAGAGCTCTCTAAGCGGTGTCCAGCTAAAACCGCAGATCAAAGACAGCTAAAATCCACAGAATCATTAAAAAGGCAAATCTTCATAGCATATTTTCCCTTAAAGTGCAGATAAAAATAAGCCAGACCTTTTAAACCAACTTTGACACTTGGGTGAGAAAAGCCACCTGTCAGTTGCCTGGCAGCCTTATGATCCAGCAACTTATCTACCTTCCCCACACCTGATGCCATATATAATATCAGACCTGGGAGAAGTGGGTTTGGTTTCAGGGAGAAATGGCCTCGTGAGTCAAATCCTCATCGAGTTATTTATATACTGCTGTTTGTCCAAGGCCCCCAAAGAGGTGAATAGATTAATACAACCCCAAATAAAATAAAAGTGCATCAACTAGAAACACAAAAATACAAAAAATAAATCTGGTAAACCAATGAATAAAGATATAGAACAGGAAAAACTCGGGCGCAGCATGAATAACACCTCGTGCATTTGTGAGTCGCATTCCTGCTCTCACCGCAAATGCCAACTGCCCATCACAAACCGTGTCCTCAACAATAGGGTTCTCCCTGGAAACAGCTGCAGCTGTGGCAAAGTTCTTACGGTTGCTGCCTGGGAGCAGTCTTGCCAGGCTCAGGTTCCCCAGCCCCTGGCCTAAAAGGAAATAGTGAGGGTGTCTGCCTAACATCAGTGAGCAGAGAGTTCCAAAGTACAAGAGTGACTCCTTGCCCCAGTGGGACTCATGTGTGCTAAGAAGCACATGATATCATTGTCTTATTGGTTTACTCGTTTTCATGGCTCTGCAGGTACAGGGGCAAGGGGCCAGCATTTTGATGGAGTAAAATGTGTGTCACCTTAGAATTGCTTTTGCTTTCGTTGGCTTTATGCCTTAGCTTGGGACGGAAATGGTTTACGGTTTATTTCCCCCGAGAGAAATCCACCAGGAGCTCTGAAGAACCAGTTATGCAATCAATTCACACACACTTGCTTATTGATTCCAGCTCTGTGTGTTTGTTTGCCTTAATGAAACCTAAGCCTGGCTTGATTTGTCAATGACAGGCTAAATTGCTGTGTTGGATTAGGGTCTGTTGTTGTCTTTGATGGGAACTGATGTGCACCAGCAAACTGTTATTTCCCTTTTCAAACTCCCTTTTCTTCTTTCTTTTCAGGACAGCAACGGAAGCTTGTCTGGGAGGGGTCTTGATCTCCTGATCGCTAAATAATTATAATTGACTCTACATCAGTGTTCAGAAAAGAAGGAGGAGGAAAAGCTCCCTTTTTAAAATAACCAGTTTGTTCCTTTTGTGTTCAGTTTGGGGAATGGCTATCATGGGTTCCCCAGAGACAGTGAAGTTGCCGTCATCTGATAGGGATACTCCAGAGGGGGGTATTTTGGTTGAGAAAGGACAGGAGTAGTTACTCTGGATCCCAGAATCATCAGCTATAATTTAACTTGCTCGTTAAATTACAAATCCTAGAAGCAGTTCTGTCCCTTTAATACTGTTTCTCCACCCAAGATGCTCACTGCTGGTTTAACATGGAACTTACACTGAGGGAATACAAGTCCTTCATCCATAGTCCGGCTATAAGCTGCTTCTATGGGTGCCTACTTGACATGTATAGATGTCTGTCTTTTTGATGCTGACTCAGGTATTTTGAAATGCACATGTCATAATTCCCCTTTCCTCCAGCAGCCAGTCATTGTGAAGAAGGAACAACAACACTTTAAGCAAGTCATGATGGCTGGATGAAGCCATTCCTTGATGCAGTTTCATTACTTACAACAGAGGCAGCGAAGGTGTGTCCCTCCTGACGTTGATGTAGTCCAACTTTCAGCAGCCATAGCAAGCATGGCCAAGGGTTAGGGATGTTAGGACTATTTGGAGAGCTCTAGGTTTTCTGCTGCTAATCTACCAATAGGCAAACGTAGCAAAGGTGGGGGTAGGGATATGGATTTTGTCATGATTGGTTTTGATAGTGAGGGTCAAGGATCAAACAAGGGTGAAAATGGAATCATGCTTCAAGACAGCCATCTCCAACCCAATGCTTTCTAGATATTTTGGACTACAAGTCCCATCAATCCCAGTCAATGGACAGAAATGATGGGATCTGTAAAATAAAATAAAAGGAGGGCACCAGGTTAGGGAAGACTGTTTTAGGCACTGTTGTTCTGCAGTGATGGCAGAGAATTAACAGGGGTGGGCTGTCTTATCACCACATTTCAGGGTTTCCAGCATTTCAGCTGGTCGTTTGATTTGCAGGTGCTAATTTGCAGGTGCTAATGTTTATAGCAGTATGCCGTCAAAAGCTTCCCCTGCTGATTTTTAGGGGCTGAAACCTGTAAAGCAGGTGTAGGGAACCAGTGGTGAACTATAACTCCCATCAGTCTTAACCATTGCCTATGCTTGCTGGGGCTGATGGGAGTTGCAGTTCAGCAACATTGAGGCTGTTTCCCACCTGCCTGGCTAGGCAGCAACCCTGCTATAGCTCAATGGTAGAACACATGCTTTACACACAGAGTGTCCCAAGGTTCTCCCGTTCAGCCATCAGGTGGCAGCTGACAGCTGACCTCTGCCAGAGACCCTGGAGAGGCACTGCCGGTCAGAGTAGACAGCACTGGGCTAGATGGATCAATAGCCTTTGCTGATAGAAGGCAGCTTATTAGGTTCATAATAATTTCCAGAAACATTGCATCTGTTGGATTTCTCTCTCATGCAGTTTCAAAATCCCAGGGTGGGACTGAGGAATGACAGTCTAGCTGCTGTGAGTTTTTTTGCCCTATACTGCTGATTGATCCATCTATTTGTCTGGTCCAACTTTGACTGCAAACTTTCACCATATAGCTGCAACTTCCAAGGGGCCAGATGCAATTCATCCAAGCCTTTTCCAATCTAACAGATTTGCCTTCAAGAATCTATCCCATAAGGACATATTCTCTCTCTCTTTCTCTGTTGAACGGCCAGTTTCAGAGGAGAACAAGGATCCTCTTAGCAGAGCTTTGGCAGAGGCCCTTTTAGCTTTTTAGAAGAGCAGGAAATATTGGCACACATAGCTTGCCAGTCAGGAGCATGTGAAGCTGCTTCTGTTGACATTTCCTGATCTACACAACTGTTGGAGTCCCGTGAGTTCTGATGTCTCAAAGCAGTTGGCGGCATTTTAGAATGAGCCACAGAAGCTGCAGCAGCTGCCAGTCAGTATAAATAGGGGCCAGCCCACCCAACAGGGCCAGCCCACCCAAGAGGCAGACTGATGTGATCACCATGGGTGGCGGAATGCCAAGGGGCAGTGCCTGCATGGGCAACCCCACCCATCCCTGGAGAAGGAAGGAGAAGTGGTGGCATCGTCTGGCAGGATTTTGCCAGGAGCTACTGCAGCTGGGACGCGGGTGGCGCTGTGGGTTAAACCACTGAGCCTAGGACTTGCCGATCAGAAGGTCGGCGGTTTGAATCCCCGCGACTGGGTGAGCTCCCGTTGCTCCGTCCCTGCTCCTGCCAACCTAGCAGTTTGAAAGCACATCAAAGTGCAAGTAGATAAATAGGTACCGCTTCGGCGGGAAGGTAAATGGCGTTTCCATGCGCTGCTCTGGTTTGCCAGAAGCGGCTTAGTCATGCTGGCCACATGACCCAGAAGCTGTATGCCGGCTCCCTTGGCCAATAAAGCGAGATGAGCGCCGCAACCCCAGAGTCGGCCACGACTGGACCTAATGGTCAGGGGTCCCTTTACCATTACCTTACTGCAGCTGTGCAACCCCAGTATGCGAGATGACAGGGGCAAGGCGCCTTCCCTCTTTGCCTCAGGCAGTGAAACAAGATAGGCAGCCCTGGGGACAAAGATGGACCAGTTGCTAGAAAATGCAAGAAGGGAGAGGGGTCTTGTGCTTAGGGCCTGTTTCTAGGTTTCCCACAGGCATTGGGCTGGCCACTGTGAGAACAGGATGCTGGCCATTGGCCTCATCCAGCAGCCTCTTCTTATGTTACCTCTGAAACAATCTATACACTCTGATGCTTTGCACTAGTTCAGAAGTCATCAATTCAAATTAGAACTGCAGACTCAAAATGCTTTTCTTCCCTAATGTACTTATATGCAAATTCCATAACTCATCTGAAAATGTAAAATGCCTGTGAAATAGGATTAGTCCAGTGCCAGTTTGTTTGAGATTGTAATTATTTTATCATTGGCATTTATTTCATGCGAGTTTTGACAAATCTGGAACGTAGTGTTAATTCAGTTGAAAGGTGCAGAGATTGCAGCGAATGTCTTCCTTGGAAATTCATTTCCAGTTCTATTTATTAAAATGAATAAAAAGCCCACAGCCTAATCGAAATGGAGTTGGAATGGATCCTGTTTGAAATGTATGCCAATTTGCATTTCAAATACTTGCAATTTAAATATCTGTCCAAGTCCATGAATATTTATATTTGATCCATGAAGATAATCACCTTTTTTTTACTGTCAGTCCTTCCTGGGCCAGAGAACAGCTCTGTAAAATCCCCAAAAGCAACCACAGAGGGAATGCCTCTTGTATTGAATTATCTACCTCAGAAGCCAAAGCTTTGGAGTTCTGCCAAAGTATTAGCTTCACATGTACTCTTCCTCCCTTCTTTTGGTTTTCATATTTTATAATATATTTGGGGGAAATTCACTAGAGCACTCTGTTAAGCTTAGTGGAAGAAAGGGCTAACTATGACGCTGTTTCTCTAGGTGGTGTCAAGGGTCAACATGGTCAGGCCCACTGACAAACCTCCTGATCTGCTTCTCCTCTTCACCATTGCTTGTTCACCTGCCTCTCCTTCTGGCCCAAACAAGGCTGGACAATAAGTGATGGAAATAAGGGTGGGGAACTTGCGGCTCTTCAGATGCTGCTGGACTCCAGCTCCCATCCTCCTTGACCATTGACCATGCTGGCTGGGGCCTGATGGGTCCTTGGAGTCCAACAGGGTCAGGTTCTTTCCATTCTTGCTGTGGAGTACACAGACACCCCATGGAAAGTCCTATCTTGGGGGGTACCTTTGCATGCAGGTCCTCAGTGCTTACTACATACAGTCGCAATAGAAAAAAAGGGACTCCCTGCACTTGTCATGCTTAGGTAGCAAGGAGGATTTGGGCAACTCCAGCTTAATTCTCACTCCTGCAGTTCTGTGCCACTGGAATCAGGGCTTGCTGAAATTCCCTGGTCCTCACCAACTAATAAGAACCGAAGGAGCAATGGCGGCTGGTGTCTGTTGGGGTGGAAGGCAGGGAGATCAACATTAGGTGGCGCCATAGCCAATGACAGGCACAGCCAACTCATTCTACTTTGGTCCCTAGCCTCCTCCCTGCTGACTTCTACAAGGGGAGCACTGGGGCAGAAATTGCCAGCCAGTGACACCCACCGAATTGGTTGTATGTAAGAACACAGGTGGGTGGGAGCTGGCTGAGGGCAGTCTCAGACTGAGGGTGCATTTGCCTTAATGGACAAGCCACTGAAGGAGGAGGAGATGTCCTCTGTTGTGCCTGGCCGTCTTACACCAATGACATTTTGGATGGTGAATATAAATGTGTTTTAGTTACTGTACTTCTGCCCCACCTCCCCTCCCCTTACCAACGAAATACCCATCAAAGAACTCTTTAACCATCAATGTATGTAAATTTTGTAAAAATAAAATAAAAATAAAAACTTGAAAACATTGCAAGTGTTGAGAAGTCTTATTTACAATCAGAAGCAATCATGCTCACATTTCAAATCCTGGCTTTGAGGTTCATTGGCACTTTTGATAAGTCTTTTATAAGGGGCCCTTGGGATTAGAGCAGGGGTGGAGAGGATGTGTGGGTCTCCCGATATTGCAGGCTTATAACTCTCGGGTTTTGGGCAAAATCTTGACCCCACAGGTTAGGGGTCATTTTGTGGGGTGCTGTGAAACGCGGGATTTTCATCACCAAACATTGCAGGGAGGCTTGCCCTTGTGTTTGGCACCACTTTGGAGTAAATCGGACAACCTCGGTTTATCAGAGAAGGGGTCAAGGGGTGATATTGTGGGGTGCCCTAAAACATTGGGTTTTGACCATCAAACATTGTAGGGGACTTCTGCCAGCGTTTGGTTCTGCTTTGGAGTGAATCAGATGACACAGGGTTTTCACCAAAATATTGACCCCGTGGGTTAGGGCGCTGTGGGCTTTTCACTGCCAAACATTAAAGGGGGCCTTTTCCTGGTGTTTGGCACTGGTCTGAAGTGAATTGGATGATGTTGGATTTTTGGCGAAATCTTGACCCTGAGATTAATAGCCTCATGCTGTACTTTATGAGCCTTCTGAGCCTTGTCAAATGCTGACAGCTTCTAGGAGCCACAGGTGAGAGCTGGGTGCAGGGTGGGGGTCAATGTGCCCCCCACCAGAGGCATTACCCCTCCTCTAACACCCTATACACTCAGTGGTGGAGCTTCAAGCTCTGGTGGGGGCGCGGGGCAGAGAGCAGGCCAGGGCATGGCTGGTGCGCGTCCTGGGGGCGTGGCACTCCCCTCGCACCCCTGTTCCTCCGCCAGTGCATACACTCAATGTACACTTGTGTTTTGGTCACCTTATCAAGAACAAAGTTCTGCTGCCATCTGCTGGATACAGGTTTCTCTTCATGAAACACAGGCTAACAAGATGACTTAAAATGGACACGCATCCTTCCATTCTGTGCCCTTGAGTACTTTCATGTGTCATAAAATCAGCTGCAGTCCAGATGGGACAGCACAGTTAATGTATAAAAGCCGCAGGCATGAGCTATAGCTGAATCTACATTTATTTCCCTTCCTGCAAATGGGTAATAGGTGATAAAGTCATAAGAAATTTACACCATGTTAGCTCATCAGTCGCATCTCTAGCTAAAGGTTGCCAACTTTTTAATTGGTCCCTGTAACCATTTATTTAACTGCCATTTAATATGCAGCAGTTAAGACAGGAACTCGGGAACTGTGATGTTCCAGATGTTGTACTCCCAACTCCCATCAGCCCCAGCCAGCAGAGCCAGGAATGATGGCAGTTGGGAGCCTAGCAACATCTGGAGGGCAAAACATTCTCACCTGTAATATTTACTGTGGTAGAGGGCAAGCTCTGATATGCCTTGGTATGACTAGAAAGGAACTTTGCACATGCACAGAAGTGCTGGCATTCTTGAGTGTTCAAAACAGGTTCAAGTGGCATGCTGCATGTTGATGGACATGTGGGGGGGGTGGTTTCCTTCCCCTGGAATGCACCCTGACGTTCCCACCCACCAGCATTCCCACCTGGAGATGCCAGGAGTTGACTTCCTGCATGCAAAGCATCTGCTACTGAGCTGCTATGGTGGCAGCAGAATTTTAAAGACATGGGCATGTGAAGGGGTTGAGAGGACCAGAGCTCATTGGCTGTTCTGTGCTAAGGACAGCCATTGCCGGTTGAGAGTAGATGACTGAACAAATAGCCTGTTCCTCATTTTCCAAAAGGAAACACAAATCCTAGGTAAAGCACACCTGGAACCCATGGAATCTTGTGGTGGCATGTATCAGTATTTGGGGGAAAGAGACAACGTTTGTGTGCCTCCTACATCAGGCTTAATTTTAGCCCTTCAGAGGCTTTTAGCTTTTGTTTCACTTGTTGGGCATGCCGTTCTATAAGCTGCTTTTGTGAAAAGAATTAAGAATAGATGTACTGGAAATTTGAGTTTATAGCAATAATTATACAGTAGTAACAAAACGCATAATTAGAAAGACTTTAGAAAACCATCAGTCGAGGTCAAAGGAAGTCTTAGGCTGTGATAGCCAAAAATTTCAAAATGATGTTATGTTGTAAAAACTAATAAATGTGTAAAAACTAATAAAAAATTATTATTTTTTAAATAATAATTTTAGCCCTTCAGAGGCTTTTAGCTTTTGTTTCACTTGTTGGGCATGCCATTCTATAAGCTGCTTTTTTCTAACCTTACATATTCAAAAGTGGCGTACAGCTCATTGAAGAACCAGCTACCATTAAACACGATGGCCCTCACCATTAAATACAGAGGCATTAGTAATGATTTCAAGCAGGCAAGAGTAAATTCTCAAAAAGGCACCTTCAATACCACCCACGACCACCTGTTCTATAGGGGAAGTCCTTGCCTGAACCTTGCCAAACCTTGGCCACCGGAGGCATCTAGCAATGACAATGCTTATCACAGGGATGGGGAACCACCAGCCAACCTGTGAACCAGATGCAACCCCTGGGGTCTCCCCATCAGGCTCAAGGCATCCCCTCCTTGCTCAGCCCCTTCCCTGCTGCAATTATGCCTGTAAAATGTAGGGCAGCACGTTTGCCTGCTTTATCTGATTTGGGGCTTGGTCCAGCACTTCCAAGTGGATCTGATTTGGTTCTGAGCCCCAAACCAATTGGGAGAGTCATGCAGTCGGGGTGGCAGGAGAAGGAGCTGCACGAAGCTGCCTGTAAACCTGTCTCTTCCTGCTCCCTGGTCCTCCCCCTCAGAGTGCCCCCCCCCCCATTTTGACAATCCCAGATCATTTTTAAAAAAATACATTTTCATTAAATAAATTTTATTAACATATAAAACACATACATATACATTTACACAATTACACAATACACGTACATAACACACTACCTTATTTTCATAACATAAAACATGCCTACATTACTCTATATAATACCTGCCTATACTGTACATATCAACATAGCTACACACCTACCTCACACCGACACCCACCAAGTGACTTGACTTCCAGCCGTTCTTGTTGCCCTACTTTATTTTTCCAACTAGAGTAAACACATTTAATTACTTCTCTAATCTGTTCTTTTATCTTAACTTTACTCTCCTTTCACTCTAATCATTTTCTGGATTCACTCAATATCTGTCAAAAATTCTACTTCTTCCACATAAATTTTGATATATTCCTTAAAGATAGCCCACTCTTTATTCACTTTTTGTACCATATCTCCTCTTATCCTCCCTGCTAGTTCGGCAGTATGGAAGTATTCCATCATTTTAGATAACCAGTCTGTTTTAGTTGGGATGCTGTGCTTTTCCAATTTTTGGCAATCAATAACCTGGCCGCCGTAGTTGCATACATAAATATTGGTCTGACCGTTCTTTTTATTTCCTCTGACATGATGCCTAGCAGAAAGGATTCTGGTTTCCCCCCCCAAATGAAAATCTAAACATCTTTTTCAATTCATTATAGATATTTTTTCAGAATCCGTTGACAGTCCCAGATCAATCTGTGTGGACCCAGTGTGATTGGGGGATACCTCAACTCAATACAGCCAATGCCTGGTTCAGTGCTGGATCCACCGGGCAGCCCTAGAAGAAACTCTTTTATTGTAGCCAACTTTTAAAATAAAAGGAGCCAGTGTGCCAGTTTCCAGCATCAGGTTCTTCTTACAAACGCCAGCCTTTGCTGTCATTGTGACATCACTTCCTGCTCTTGCTTCTATTCTCTCCACCAACATCCAACTTAACTGGCACAGAACTCTTTGTGCTGTTGAGTCCATTGGCTGCGCTCCCCTATTAAAGGAAGGCTCTCTGCGCAACCCAGGACATTTCTTTCTTCACTCTCCTCCTCACCAGTTTGCCCAGAGCACTTTTTGTTAAGGGAAGGAGGCGATGCCTTTCAAAGGAGCACAATTGTGCTGCTGTTGGTTTTTCTACTTCGTCCTGCCTTGCAACTCCCTTTTCCAAGGCTATGGACCTGGGGACTACGGGGCGCCAGAAGTGGATTATTCAAATGAAGCAGACTTCGGGGAGAGCAATTATGGTCAGGATGTGGAGCAGTACGGTCCTGAAGCTGCAGGAGAAACTGCAGCTGAAGCACAAGCACAAACACAAGCACAAGCAGTAAGTTGTGTTCATTTATTTCATGTGTAGTTTATGCTCATTCCCTAAGTGAAATCCAGGACCCTCTAAGTAGCGCATGATAAATAACATGGGAACATAGCAACCTGCCTGGCACTGAATCAGACCGCTGGTCCATTTAGTCTACGCTATTATCTACCATGGGGATGCGGGTGGCGCTGTGGGTTAAGCCACAGAGCCTAGGACTTGCCGATCAGAAGGTCGGCGGTTTGAATCCCCGCGACAGGGTGAGCTCCCGTTGCTCGCTCCCTGCTCCTGCCAACCTAGCAGTTCAAACGCACGTCAAAGTGCAAGTAGATAAATAGGTACCACTCCGGCAGGAAGATAAACGGTGTTTCCGTGCACTGCTCTGGTTCGCCAGAAGCGGCTTAGTCATGCTGGCCACATGACCCGGAAGCTGTACGCCAGCTCCCTCGGCCAATAAAGTGAGATGAGCACCACAACCCCAGAGTCGTCCACGACTGGACCTAATGGTCAGGGGTCCCTTTACCTTTACCTTTTATTATCTACCATGACTGGCAGCAGTTCTCCAGGGTTTCAGACAGTTTCTCCTGCCCTACCGGGATATATTCTGGGGGTTGAACTTTGGGTCTACGTACAAGGCAAATGCTCTGCCACCAAGCTATGTCCCTTCCCCGAAGTTCCAATATCTGGGAATACCTCTTGAAAGGTGGCATATAGGTTAATTGAACCAGTAGTCCTCAACCTTTTCCAGCTCAGGACTAACGTTTAACCCAAACGTGCATGTGGGGACCCACTTCTTAATCATTGTTTTTATCATATATTTGTATAGTTGGTAGCACTGCTGTTGCAACCCACCTTAGATCAGGTCATGGCTGAGTAGTGGATCCCAACCCCTCAGCTGCAGACCAATGCATTGAAACAAATGGTTGGTTTTAGTATTTTGTAATTTGGTTAAAGGGGGAAATACTTTAGGTAAAATAAAAAAAGAATTCCTTGCATGTCTAAATCCGGGTTTGGGGCAAGTACTCTTTGCTGAAAAAAGCCCAGCAGAGATTTAAAATCACAAAATATGCAACAAAATAAAGCATGGAAAATATTTCTTGCTTTAAAATATTGCTTTCTAAGTTGCTTGCAAAGCCCCCCACTTCCCTGATCATAGAAAGAAACCACATGTAAGTTAAAAATGATTTACTTACAAACTTTTCAAAGGTCAGATTCATGTGCTTTTCCATATAGCAGCAAGGAAAGTCAGGTAGTAAAACTTAGGTTAGTTCCAAAATTGTAAAGGTTTCTAAATTATTTGTATAGAAACACAAAGATGGATTGCCTAAGCTTGGAGCATCCAGCTTAGACCTCCTTACTGGAAGGGTTCTCATGGTGGAAGAGAGAAAGAACAGAATTGGGTAGCCCTTCCTCCCAAGCTAAGGGGGTCTGACTTAGCTAAGCAAGGCAGGACAGCTTACTCTATGGTCTTAACCCCTTCATGTATTAATTAAAGTTAAGTATGTTGGTTATATGAGGCTGATTTATCCCACACCAATAACCTGGACCAAGTTGTCTTACCTACCAAGGACTCCAAGTGGAGCTCAGCCTTTATTATGGCACACGTAGGCCCAGCTTAGTGCTTTCCAGATGTTTTGGATTAAAACTCGCCTCAGCTGGAAGGCACCTGGCTGGGGAAGGCTGTTGCAGCATTTGAAAATGGCATGTGAAAGACTGTGCCACCTATTTTTTAAGCACACCTCACTGTTTCATCATTGAGTTTTCAAGGTGGCTGTTCCCTCATGGGCAGCCTTCTGTGAGCTATATGTTAGTGGTGGGTGGGGCTAAAGGCAAGAAGTGGGTGGAACAACAGATGGTGACTCTTACTGGTTTAGTTACAATGCTCACAGTTTAAGGACACATTCCAGGCAGGCAAAAGCACTTGTGAGGGGCACACAGCAGTCTGGTGAGGTATATGGCCCTGGGGAAAGAAAGACGGGGCTGGGTGGGGATTCACTTAGCCCCTGGTCCTGAGGTTTTCACTCCTGTTCTAATTTAGATGCTCATGGAGTTTGTCTGGGGACCTTGGGAGGAAGTGATCATGTCCTCCTGGGTTTCATGATACAGAGGCAAGGGAAAGTTGAGTGTAGTTGGACATGCACTCTGAACGGATTTCAAAAAGCTTAAGGAACTACTGGGTGAGATTCCGTGACCAGAAATATGCCAAGAGAAGGTAGTCTAAGAAGGGTGAAATATTGAAGGCACATATGCAGACAATTCCAACAAGAGAGAAAAGAGGGAGGAACCTAAAGAAACCAGTGTGACTGCATAAGTTGCTGTCGGGTGAGCTGTAATGTCAGGGCATGTATGAGAAATTGAAGAAATTTAAAGCTCAGTGTCTGAGCACCCTTCTTTTTGCTCCGGAGCTTTCCCCACAGAAACCCGCTATTTAAAGCCCATTCTTAGCAAACATAAATCCATTGAAAGCTTGAATTGATGTTTGCTCCAATTCAGCTTTAAAGAGCTGGTTTTCATAGGGAAAGCTCAGCCCTGGCCATGCACCCCACCCCAAAAATTGGCCAAGAGGAAGTGTGGACCTCCAGCTGGAAAATAGTCTTGAATTGGGTCAGTGGCATAGGAGCAAAGCACTGCAAGTCCTCCCCCACCATCTCTCAATTGCAGCATCCCTTATCAAAACTCAGGGGAAGATGGCTGCCTCCACTATCATAGTGAGCACCCACAGCGCTGGGCACCCACAGTGTGGGGCCCAAGTCAGCGCCCTCTGCGCCTGGGAAGGCTGCAAGTGTGACCTGAATACACCAGTGCCTTTCCCTCTGGTGCTTCACAGCAACTGGTGTTGACAGGTGTACTTCCAACGCTATGCAAGTCTTCTCAGATGTAGTCTGCCCTGGGTTTGATGGGGCCTTTCTCAAGGATATAGAGCAGGCATCTCCACACTCGGCCCTCCAGATGTTTTGGGGCTGCAGTTCCCATCATCCCTGACCACTGGTCCTGTTAGCTAGGGATGATGGGAGTTGTAGTGCCAAAACATCTGGAGGGTCGAGTTTGGGGATGCCTGATATAGAGGATTTTGTTGTTGTATAGCTATTGCTCTTGTCAGTCAGGTGTGGCCTTCCAGATGTTACTGAGCCACAACTCTCAGCATCCCTGGCCATTGGCCATGCTTACCATGGCTGGTGGGAATTGTAGTTCCACAACATCCGGAGGGACAGTCTTGCTGCAAAGCAAGAAGTAATTCATTTCTGATGTTAGTGTGCTGGGTGAGCGCGTGGCTATATATAGGGCTTTTTTCAGCTGGAACTCACTGGAACTCAGTTCCAGCACCTCTCAGGTGGGTTCTGGCACCTCTCTGTTGCTATTATAAGAGAACGAGGGAGGTGTTCATGGTGAGTTCCAATACCTCTTTTTCTGGAAAAATAGCACTGGATATGTTATAATGGGCTTTTGTTGGCAAAGCTAAGTATTATGTTCATGCAGGAGATGTGATTAATTTGATTTTGTTTTTATTGAAATATAGCAACTCTTTCCCATGGTTGTCTTCCTAGTAATTATCACTGACCACCCTGAAGTTCCCCTCTGGGTTGGTAGTTGGCATGCTTGGTCTCCCGCCAATGGCTCCTTCCCATTGCTGCTGCCATCAGCATGGCTTTGCTGCTGTTAACTGCCATCAGTCACTCGCCTCTGCCCATCCCTCCTCCCCACAGGTATTCTGTTTACCTGGTGGCACTGACTATGGTCAGTTCCATGTTAGGGATGGGTGACTCCATCTCTTCCTCTCAATTTCTCAATTTCTCTAATCTTACATTCGGTTTTCTACAATAGTTTGGGATTGCTTTTTTTTTAAACAAAATCCTCATGAAAATTCAGCAGCATTTTAGTGCTAATTTATCCTAATGTACTCATTTTTGTAGGCTGTTTTGCCTAATGTACTCGTTTTTGCAAGCCTTGTTTCCATAATAATTATTTTTCCACTAATGTAATGCATGTTGATGTTATTTTCAGTAATATATGCATTCATCTGTGCATTTCACCCTACAATTTGCATTTTGGATACAATACTTGGCTGGAAAACTGCATTGCAAAATTCAGACAAGTGTGGATTTCAAATGACAGTTGTGTTTTGATTTGCATATTGTTCCAAAAACTATGATTAGGTAGATTTGCCTTTAAATGCAAACTAAATTCCATTTCTCTCCCTGTCCCTCCTTCTGACAGCCCTTCCCTGTATCTGAATGATACTGCTTTGGCCGCATAAGCAACAGCCCAAACACTGGACGAGAGAGAACTAGCTTAATAAATCCTATAGTAACTTGGCTGTTGGATATGGCAAGGTATTAACTGTTGTAAAATGGTTGGATGTCAAAATGCTGATACCAAATATCACCTGGCCAAATATTTGTGCAGCTAACAAATTTTCAGAGTTTTTGAAGTCTCAAGAGTTCATACAAGACAATTTTAAGTGGTGATGATTTCAGTTCTATTCAAAACACATGGGTTTTAGATCATAGAATCATAGAATTGTAGGGTTGGAAGGGACCACAAGGATCATCTAGTCCAACCCCCTGCATGCCACAATTTTTTGCCCAAAGATTAAGAGTCTCATGCTCTACCGACTGAGCTGGTATACTGCAGGTATAGCAGTGTGAAAGGGTCATTGGACACAGGCACTAGCATTCTAATCAGGCATCATAATCACGTCTGAACGCACCCTTTGTGAATCAATGGTTAGGGCTGACCCTATCAGCCAATCAGCCAATCCCCTCTGCTGGAGAACAGAACTCTGCATGCCTCATGACCTGCCCTTGTCCCATCACTAAAATGCAGTGAAGGACGCTAACCCATTACTAGTGTTGAAGCAAGATTCAGCTGCCATTCTGGTTGGCTTCTGTATGTGGAATGGGGAGAGGGTACCACTTTGTCCTTGCCTCTCAGGCAGCAAAATGTATTGAGCCAGCTCTGCCAATGGAGCTGTACAGTTCACCTGCATGTCTGGGGTTAAAAATAATAATCCCAGAAGTTGCTGTTTTGCATTGAGGTTTGACTTATACTGTGACCAATGAATTCTGATTCCCTCTGCTGGCTTCTTTGGAAGAGTGGGATATTTTGAGCTGATTTCTGTAGCAGCATTTCAAGACAGGCTCCAGTGGATTGAGCAGAAGAGACCGAGAGTGAGTCCAAGGGTCAAGGAAGTGGCTTCTACACATGCTGTAGAATGAAGTGAGAGGCAGATGCGGCTCATCCACTAGCTCATCTAGTAGAAGGAAAACTCTGACCCTAAACCTCCACTGCCTCGTGGGACATATTTGGGAAAAGAAAAGGCTATAAGGAATGCTGTTGTTGTTTAGTCGTTTAGTCGTGTCCAACTTTTCATGACCCCATGGACCAGAGCACGCCAGGCACTCCTGTCTTCCACAGCCTCCCACAGTTTGGTCAAACTCATGTTGGTAGCTTCGAGAACACTGTCCAACCATCTCGTCCTCTGTCGTCCCCTTCTCCTTGTGCCCCCCATCTTTCCCAACATCAGGGTCTTTTCCAGGGAGTCTTCTCTTATCATGAGGTGGCCGAAGTATTGGAGCCTCAGCTTCAGGATCTGTCCTTCCAGTGAGCACTCGGGGCTGATTTCCTTAAGAATGGATAGGTTTGATCTTCTTACAGTCCATGGGACTCTTAAGAGTCTCCTCCAGCACCATAATTCAAAAGCATCAATTCTTCGGCGATCAGCTTTCTTTATGGTCCAGCTCTCACTTCCATACATCACTACTGGGAAAACCATAGCTTTACAAATCCAGAATGGAGTCCCTAAGACAGTTCAATGGTGTTTTGTACACCTCTGCCTGGCATCTCCTTCAACCCAGCTGGTGCCAGATGTATTGCTCTGCTTTCGTTTGGACCACATCAGCAAGTCCGAGAGGGTTGGTGGTCTTCTTGTCTGGGCAACCAAGGATCTCCATACACACCACCAGGGCTTGTGCCCCAGCACTTCAGTGCTGCTAACGCAGTGGTTTGACTTCACCCCCAGAAGTGCACTCCATTGACCCTTGAGAGGGACAGATGCCAACAACAATACATTTCAAGCTAGCTGTTGAAGATTAATGTGGTTTTAAAAGAAGCAGCAGCAAGGGTAGTCATTGTGGTGCCGTCCACATGTTGAAGAACTGCAGCTCCCACCACTTCTGGCTATTGCCCATGCTAGCTGGGGCTGATGTGGGCTGCAATTCAACAACCCCTGGAAGGCCACAGGCCCCACAGCTCTGTATGAAAGCATTTTTGCCCTCTCTTCAGCTCACAAAGCTCCCAGATGGGCTGAAAAAGGGAGACTTCCGGGGTGGCGCCATCGGCAATGGCGGATTCCCTCTGAACTGGAGGGACCAGCTCCACGGGAATCGGGTCTTTTCCGCTACGGCGAAGCGGGGACCCATTCAAAAATCACAGGCGGATGAAGCCTGTGATCATGGGACTCGGCGGGCACCCTTAGCGCCCCCCCCAACCCGCAAAAGAACCCATTAACAGGCTCCGGAGCGAAGAGGGGAAGTGGCGCGGTGCTGAGAGTCAACTGCTTCTTCCGTGGAGCAAAGCCGCACAGCCGTTGCCGGAGAGCGCTGCCTATGTCCTGGGACAATCTGGCTTCTAAAATAATCACCCGTGAGTACCTAAACTCGGACAATTGGACTCTAAATAAGGACTTGTGAGCAGAAAGGAAAATTGGACTTAAAAGTTTACCTTAATTTGGCGCTGAAACGGGAAGGTCTAAACAGGAAGTCAGCCTTCCGTTTCTTTGTAGACAGATTAAAGCAAAGACATGGCAAACTAGAGCTCAGAAAATCGCCTGTAAAAGATTAACTTTCATCATTTAAGATTGTTGAACCCCCTTCGGAAGCAGGAGAAGAGGGGGGATTTTTTCGGACTGTTTAAACCTGCAGAAGTGAGGGTAAAGTAAAGTAACTTTCCACCGTCCTGATCCTGGAGCGGGGTGTTAGGACTGACTTTTTTTGAAGTTCATTGACCAGAGACAACGTTTTTGACAGATAGCTATAAGAAGAGAAACTTTGACTCCATTGTTCCCTTTCGCTTCTTAAAGGAACAAATATTGACAAAATATCTGAAAAAGGAAACTTTTGTTGCTAGACTTGTCTTTAAAAGAAAGAACAAATAGAAGTTTTCCCCCTAGAGGGAGACTGTGAAACTGTAACCAACTCCGGGGAGCTGGCAGCTGTTACAGATTACAATCGTGGGAATAGACATCTGACCTTGCAGGACAATGTATTCAGAAGCTCTGTTGTGTGCTTTCTATAAAACAAATGCCCTACTGGAACAGCTACATGAGAAGACGAATTTAATGGCTGATTCGATTAGAAATTTTGAACAGGCAGTGGGAAATTTTGAACAGGCAGTGGGAAAATATGTGGAGCCCACCCAGGAATTAAATCAGGAGCGTGCCCTGACAGAACAGGCCCAACAGGAACATGAGCTTTCGGATTTGACAAATGAACTTGGAAAAAGCCAGATTTGGAAAGAAAAAGTTTGGTTTGGTTTGGAAATGGGGGGCTGGATAGACCCCCCCTATGCAGGGATGTTTGGACTTTTCAAGTCGGGCAATGGGCCGTGAGATGTCTGGGATTGTGGGGGCTCCTAATTTTGGAGGGATTTTGAAACATGTTCTTAAATACCACATGGAATTTAGTCTGGATTATGGAAAAGGGGCTGATCTGTCGAGAAGGGTCAAAAACACTGTTAAGCTGGAGTTCCCACGAGTGAAACGAGCAGGAGATAAGGGAAAATACAGTTACAAATATGAAGAAGAGCTGCGGAAGGGACATGGAAGAGACTTAAGGGCCTCGGATATAAGGTTACCAGGTTAATGCGCTAGATCGATGGGATAATAAGGACTGACAAAACCCGGGACCAGGAGGAAGGGACGCTGGATGAAGATTGGATTGTTTTTATTTCTTTTTCTACTACTAGGATTGTTTTATAAAATTGATGAATGTTAGAAAAATGTTGGAATGAAATTACTTGGCTTTAGTAAAAATGTTTAAAGAATTATGTAAGAATATTATGGTTATGAGAAGTTGGTAAAAATAAGATTTAAGTTTTAAGTTTCAAGGTTTTTCATAGTAAGATAAGATTAAAATAGTTTAAGGTAATGTAATGACAGAATTTTATGAAATATGGAAAGGATTTGCTGCAACAATTAACAACTAGGATACCAAAAAAGGGAGGAGGAGGAGGTCAAAGAAAGAAGGTAATGGCAGTTGAGGATTTGAGAATAATGGATTTGTTTTTAAATGTTTGCGGTGTATTTTTGGGGTTTTTTTGAATTTGTATTGTTGGATGTGGTTTGTGTTTTTCTTTGTTCTTTCTTTGTTCTTTTTCTACTTTGTTTTCTTTTGTAACTCTAAAATTTTTTTTCAATAAATATCATTTTAAAAAAAACCAGATGGGCTGAATAAGGAAAAAATAGAAATGAAAAGGTGGCAACAGCAGTGGCACCTTCGAACTGGGAATCTTAAATTTGTACCAACTTGAGCTCTCAAAACTGATCTTTTGCTGTATCCCCCATCCTTAGGAAGAAGAAGCTAATCAACGATGATGTCCCATTTCCTCATTGTGGCAAGCATCGTCTGGAGGAAGTCTGTCAAACGAACAGCTTCAGATGGTTCCAAATGCTACCAACAGATTATATTATGGAACGGTTATTAAATATTTGTTAGAGGAGGAAAAAAAGCTTCTTCTCTTCCAGTCTGTGCCATGAGGTCCTCTTGGTTTGGCAGCATTCTGTGGTTAAAATATTACCAGCTCACTATATATTTTGGAAAATTATTTCTCCATATATACTTGATCTTGGCCAAAAGGCTGAGAAGCCTATGTTTTCTATGCATTCAGATGTCTCTCGAGATATCATCTCCAAATTTGCCGTGAGGGTTCCCAGTGTGTGTGTGTGTGTGTGTGTGTGTGTGTGTGTATCTCTGGCTGCCATTTTGTATCCAGATGGCAGACTGAAACATCACTTTGGCATAGGTTCAGCCACCTTTTGAGATATTGTAACCAAACTTAGTACAAGGGTTCCCGAGGTGGGAATGGTGGTCTTTGCCGATGTTTGGATGTTGGGTGCCATTTTGAATCAAGATGATGGCTCAAAATGTGACTTTGCAGTGACTTAACCCTTTTTTGGCATAAGGGGTCCAAACTACACCAATCTGGACACCTCTGAATGTTCCACACACACACACACACACACACCATTTGGTGGGTCTTTACCACATTTAGTGGGACAATTCCAACCTGCACCAATTTGGATGCCTCCTAAGATATCATTGTGAAACTTGGCACAAGGGTATCTGAGGTGGAAGTGATGGTCTTGGATGCCAGACACCATTTTGGGGGCTAACCACATTAACCCTAAACATTAGCTCTCCCTCCCAAAAGGTTGATTTGAGGACAGCATGTACTCCCTGGGTCAGGGTAGAGCCCTGGGTTGGTTTGTGCATGCATGCATATGTGTGCACAGTCCCCAAACTCACAAATTACACTCTTATATTCTTCTTCTTCTTCTTTGAATTTCTTTCCATTGGTAAGCTGTGTTTGGATGGTATACTCAAGCAAGTAAGCATTAGCAGCAAACATTCATAATACTAGAACTCGGAGACATTGGTGGAAACTGAATGTTGGAAGATTCAGAACCGACAAAAGTAAGTATTCCTGCACGCAGCACACAGTGGAATTCGCTCCTGCAAGAGGTAGTGTTAGTCACTATGACCCAAGGTCACTGGATGAACCAGTGATTGATTGATCCTAACTAGGCTCTAACAACTGCACCACACTCCTCCATGCAAAAAGACATCTGAAATAATTACATAAGCTGCACTGGGACCCTTTGAAGGGTGTGTGTAAAAAAAATATGGCACATTTTATGCAATGTGTTACTGGCATTCATGCAATGAAGAGGCCTGCCTGAAGGGCTGCTGTGAAGAAGATGAGCAGATTAGAACTCAAGGACATCCAATGAATGTTGGAAGATTCAGGACAGAGAGATGAAAGTACTTCTTCACACAGAGCTTAGCTAATTGATGGAATTCATTTCCACAGGAAATAATGATGGCCACCAACTTGGATGGCCTTAAAAGATGATTAGACAAATTCCTGGGGGTAAGGCTGTGTTCTGCCTCTACTAATGGGGGCACTTGGGTCCTGCTTGTGAACTTTCCATAGGCATCTGGTTGGCTACTGTGGGAACAGAATGCTGGACTGGATGGGACTGATAAAGCAGGGTTGGTCTTAGGCTGTTGAACATAATGTTCACCAGGGGCAAATAAAGGTCATTCTCTTTGCCTGGGAGCAAAGAGAGCTACCCCCACTGACAATGGCCCTATCTGCACTATACGTACATTTGAAACAGCATCATACCACTTTAGTCAGTCATTACTTCCTCCCCCCAAAAATCTGGGAATTGTAGTTAAGGGTGCTGAGAGTTGTTAGAAGATCTCTGTCCTGCCCCTGGATCTACCTGTCTGGAATTTGGCAGGGTTAACCTTCTCTTTAGTTTGTTTGCTTTTGGACTATCCTTGGAGGCATCGCCATGAGTTACCACACTGAACTGCTGCACTTCAGAATTTACCACTGCCCTAAGCATCAAAAAGTCTGATCTGGGTCTGTTCAGGCCCAAATCCAGGCCATCCAATTGGATCTGAACGGGAAGCTGCGGCTTGCACAGCCCTAACTTTCACGCAATGACAAATAACTTTATACGGGGTTTTTCTTCCCCCTCTCCCCTTTGGTAGAGGAGAAGAGAGGGAGCAGTCCCAGAGAATAATGCATGTTGGATTTCACCAAGTGGGCAATTTTCTATCCACATCCTTACCTTGGAATGTTTGAGTGCAAATGCCCATGGTACCCCAGGAAACAATTGTCTTACAGTTCCATGAGACAGAGGGTCAATGTGGGTTCTTCTGGAGGACTTTAAGCAAGTATTTTGGCACCACTGTTTGAGCAGAAGAAGGTGCAAGTGAAAGCTTCATTTGTCTTAGCCAGGCTGGGCCATGGCGACTCTTTCGGTTTTCCTTGATGTTCCATTAGCCAAAGCAGCAGACGTTCCCTTGGATGCGTACAGAGCAGATCCTTCACCTGAAAAGGTGTGCCTTGGCCATGCAGGTAGATTTCCTAGCCAAGCCTAGCTCCTTCCAACAATAATCTGTTTCAATAGGGAAGGTTGCACAACTTAACTCCAATGCTGTCACAGGTGAGAAGAAACATTCAGTGACCATGGTGTTGTAGATGTGAGGCACATAAGGGAATCAACCTTTTGCTGCTCTTCTGAGGTTAATGGCTTACTGTTTCTTAGCCACCCAGACGACTGTGATTTTGAGAGGCAAAAACATAAGACATATAGAGACATTGCCCTAAGCACTTTCCAGAGGAAAAGAGGACAGGCCCTTGCTCCCAAGCGGCTTCCAGTCTAAAATTATAATGGGACGGATAGTGTAGATGCAACCAAGGAAGGGGAGCAGAGGGAAGCAATATGTGGTTGTTAAAGTTTCATGTGTGTTTAGTTCATTCCAGTACTGCATGGGAAGTTGAGGGTTGAGCCAACAGAAAAGGTGGTGTCTGAGGAGGTCTTTGAGGGAAGCTAGCACCCTCAGGAGTTCTGGGAGGGACTTCTGAGCATAAAGACAGAAAGTGCAGAGCCTTTCTATATTTTGATTTTATATCTGAACACCCCCTTTCCAGCAGGGAAGTTAGCTGAAAGCAGCTCTGAGTGATTAACGAAGGATTTTGTTGTTTAGTCGTTTAGTCGTGTCCGACTCTTCGTGACCCCATGGACCAGAGCACGCCAGGCACTTCTGTCTTCACTGTCTCCCGCAGTTTGGTCAAGCTCATGCTGGTAGCTTCGAGAACATCATCCAACCATCTCATCCTCTGTCGTCCCCTTCTCCTTGTGCCCTCCATCTTTCCCAACATCAGGGTCTTTTCCAGGGAGTCTTCTCTTCTCATGAGGTGGCCAAAGTATTGGAGCCTCAGCTTCACGATCTGTCCTTCCAGTGAGCACTCAGGGCTGATTTCCTTAAGAATGGATACGTTTGATCTTCTTGCAGTCCATGGGACTCTCAAGAGTCTCCTCCAGCACCATAATTCAAAAGCATCAATTCTTCGGCGATCAGCCTTCTTTATGGTCCAGCTCTCACTTCCATACATCACTACTGGGAAAACCATAGCTTTTACTATACGGACCTTTGTTGGCAAGGTGATGTCTCTACTTTTTAAGATGCTGTCTAGGTTTGTCATTGCTTTTCTCCCAAGAAGCAGGCGTCTTTTAATTTCGTGACTGCTGACACCATCTGCAGTGATCATGGAGCCCAAGAAAGTAAAATCTCTTACTGCCTCCATTTCTTCCCCTTCTATTTGCCAGGAGGTGATGGGACCAGTGGCCATGATCTTTGTTTTTTTGATGTTGAGCTTCAGACCATATTTTGTGCTCTCCTCTTTCACCCTCAATAAAAGGTTCTTTAATTCCTCCTCACTTTCTGCCATCAAGGTTGTGTCATCTGCATATCTGAGGTTGTTGATATTTCTTCCCGCAATCTTAATTCTGGCTTCGGATTCATTCAGCCCAGCCTTTCACATGATGAATTCTGCATATAAGTTAATGAAGGATTAACCAATATAAAGAACACCTCCTAATTCAGAATACACGCACACACACCCCAAAGATGCAATAAGTACAATGAATGAACCAGAAGTATAATTCATATGCTAAACAAATCAAAACAATATAGGTTACATAAAAAATAAATCATATATGCCAGGAACATCAATCAGCCTGCAGCATAAAACAAAACAAAGAAACTCCACTAAGCAGGCCATTGCCATGTCTCACCCAGCGGGAATACACACATCTCCCACCTCTCACCTGGGGGGGCAGGTTTCACCAACAGATTCTCACCCTAAGGCAGAAACCAATTCTCTGAGTGCAGCCAACCAGCAGGCAGACTAACTCCACATAGTAACAGCTAAAGAACTCTGGACCTGGGTTCAAATCCCCACTCAGCCATGAAGTTCACCAGGTGCCCTTGGGCCAGTCCCTGCCTCTCAGCCTAACCTACTTTGCAGGGTTGTCGTGGGGTAAAGTGGGGAGGGGGAGAGAACCGTATATGCCATCTTGAGGTCCTTGGAGGAGAAGTGGGACCTAAATGAGTCAATAAACATAAGGGTGGTGGAGCTAGAGAAGTGAGGGGTCATGGGTCGGGATGCATTAGGATGTGAGATTGAAAGTGAGGGTGCGAGTTCATGGAGAGATTTGAAGATAATGACAGGGAGCTTTGTGCTAGATTCAGGAGCCAACCAGAATCCAGTAGCAGAGAACTGAAAAGTGATGCATGTCATCAGAAGGGCAAGTTGGGGGAGGTGAATCTATCAATATCAGTTCCTCTCAGTTTCTCATTTCCCCCGAACTTAAGTTCAGATTTCCACATTTTCGCACAACGTTGAGATTTTTGTATCGTTTCAGAAAGTATGAATTAGATAGGTTCGCCTTTAAATGCTAACTGGAGCAGATGTCATCCCCATCCCTAGTGATGAGAGAGGCACATAACTTTGGCAGCGGACGCAAGCTGCAAAGACACAAGGTGATTAAGGAGAGAGAAAGAGAGGGCCATATTTTTTCAACCGTCAACAAGATCAAATAATTTGGAACCTCCAAAGTCCCTTATGGATGCAGAACTGAAACTCAGCATGACCAAAGCGCATGGGTGTGCCCTCCTGTTTTTGCCTCTGAAATGTTGGTGGGTACAGCTTACATCAGCACTGCCCTTCTTCCCAGGCTGCCAGACAGATCTGGAGGAAGTTTGGATCCCACCAGTGGTAAAACGAATCCTGCTTCAAATTCCTGAGGACCCAACACTGAACCACGAATACCTCCCACAGCTCGGAATTTTGGAATTCACCCGAGCAGCCATGGAGCTAGCTATCGGCAAGGACAGCCACGCTCTCCTAGACAACAGGGTAACAGCTTTTATCAGCAATAGCAGCTAAATTAGATGTCAGCTCAGTGCTAATTAAGCCATTCTGTATGTAGATTAACTCTGTGCTTATCACTGTACCTTAGCTTCATTTATGTGGTCCTCCTGTCTAGAGATGTTGGAGAATTATGACAAAAACAGAACTGGGAGCTGCAGCTGAACACGGCAAATGCAGGGCAGAATGGAAGCAGATGCCTTCTTAAATCCCTAATATTGCCCCGTCTTGACTTACCCCAAACTTTCCTTTGTAAATAGGCATGTGGTGTTCAGACAAATGGCGGAACCGGAGCCTTGTGGATTGGAGCTGAATTTCTGCACCATTGGTACAAGCCCAGCTACTGCACAGCTCCAGCAACTGTTTTGATCGCCGCACCCCACTTAGGTATATAAATTGTTGTTGTTTTCCCAGCACCACTTTGATGCCTAGCCCTACAGTTGAAGCTGCAAGCCCATGGGAAATGTTGCTGTGATTTAAAAAAGAATCCCAATCTGTAGCAGTGCAGAAAACATAATCTAGAGGGCACACACACCATATGTTTAGAGTACTATGATACCACTTTTAAAACTTATTGCTTCCCCCGAAGAATTCTGAGAGCTGTTCCATACTACCCAACAATCCTGCTTTGAGCGAGACATCCCAGATTCACAGTAGCTGCCCCGGCTTCTGTTTGAAATCCTGGATTCCTCACCTCCTCATCCTCGTCCTCTGGGGCAGCCATGGCAGCTTCCACAACCTTCTCTGCCACTGCTGTACTCCCAGAAGCAGGAACAGCACATCTGGAAGAACACTTCTGAAAGTGGGCACATCAATTCCGGTGGGCAGGGAGAGGCCAAGTAGGCTAAACGACTGGAGCGAAGATCAGGTGGATGGGTGGGGGTGAGAAAGAGCGTGGAGATTGGGCAGGGGCTGGGCAAAAGTGTGGTGAGATCAGGCAGGGAGGATATGGGAGGGGTGTTCTGCTTTGCCGCCCCGAAATGTTGGATGGTATGTAGTTCAATAAGGGTGCTGAGAACAGGTAGGAGACCCCTGTTCAGAGCTTCAGAGTTTCGGACTGTATTGTGATAGTCAATCTCTCTTCTCAGGAAACTCAGGAAATTGTAACTCTCAAAGAGGAATAGGAGACTCCTAACAACTCTCAGCACCCTTAATGAATGGCAGCTCCCAGAATTCTTTGGGGAAGCCATGACTGTTTAAAGTGGTATTATAATGCTTTGAATGCATGCTGTGCATATGGCCAGAGTCTTACAGCTTTGCGAGATGAGGAAGGAGCCTCACTGTCATCATATCCAAGCACCCACTGCAATTCAGTTAAGGGAGATTTAGCTCCTAAGTCAGGCCATTACAGCTGCCTCCAAATTTGAGATGATACTGGATATCATGTCCTACTGTGGGCCTTGCTTAGGCTGCTGGACCCCACCAAACTCACTTGACAGTGGCAGCAGGAACACTCCAAGAAGTTGCCATTTTAATTTCCCACAATGCCCCGGGACACCCAAAACCATATCATTACAGGGCAGTGCAGGAAATGAATACAGAGAATTGCAGCCCAGCTGCCCTTGACATGAGGGCCCCTGGGCAGATGTCAATGTTGGTAAGCACTGGGCCCCTGGCAGTTGCCCTAGGAAGCTCCAAGCCAATGTATCTCATGTACATATGAAGCTGCTTTAGACTGTTAATCCATCTGTCCTGGTATTACCTACTCTCACAATATTGCAAAGTATTGGCCAAGACCTTTGAATGCCTGAGATGAATGACAAGTTGACCCTCCCAATATAATTTCACATGCAGAAGCTAACCAGACTGGCACCTGGATCCTACTTCAACACTGCCTGGCTTCACATCTGAGGGCAGTATGCTGCCAATTCTGCCTAATGATGGAGCCATCCCTGACACTGAGTATATCTAAATGGACTCAGGCAGAGGTCTTTCCCAGCCCTTCTCCCTGACATCATTTAATTAGAGAATGAATCTTGGGCCATCTGCATTCAAGCATGTGCTCTACCACTGAACTCTGCCCCATTCCTCATGTGAGCGCATCCCTCATTTTCAACCAAAAAACAAAGCTGGCACAAAACAAAGCTCCCACAAGCTTCCCCTCCTATCTTTTCAGACAATCTTGGTTGCATATTCCAAGTTGCTGGCTTTTCAGACATCCGTTCTTACCACTACTGGGATCCCATCAAATTGACTGTCGACACAGAAGGGTTCCTGGAGGAGCTGCAGGTAATGTCCTGAGAATAAAGGACTACTGTACTTGATCAACCAGAGCTAGAGATGGCACCATGTACGGTTAACAGAGAACCAGGGCACCAATAGTACCAAATAGGATGGGAAACAGCCTTATTAGAAAAAATTAACCAATAAACTGAAACTGACACGGGGACAAATGGAAGAAGACGCCTTCACCCCAATATGGTTCCCTTTATCACCTACACAGCCCAACAAGACAACGACAAGAATCCACCAACAGCATACGAATCAATATAGCTAACCTGATTCAAAAACACCCACCCACCCCACTCACACATGAAAACCACAGCCAATCACAAACAAACAACCACACCCTAGGCCAACCCCAACCTCTCTCACCACCAAAGGAACACAAGCGAATACAGTGGACGCTCGGGTTGTGAACTTGATCTGTGTGGGAGGCACGTTTGCAACCCACACTGCCACGTCTGCGCACGTATGGGTTGCGATTCAGCACTTCTGCACATGCGCAAAGCGTGATTTAATGCTTCTGTGCATGCACGACTGCCAAAACCCAGAAGTAACCCGTTCCAGTACTTCTGTGTTTCGGCGCGTCTGTAACCCGAAAAAAATGCAACCTGAAGCATCTGTAACCCGAGGTATGACAGTAGTAAAGTAAAGAGAACCTGCACAAGTGATGCTGACACAAAACCCCACACATACATTAAGTAAAATAGAAACATCGCCACCCGACTCCACCCCCACCCACCATGGTCCCTTCCACCTCTTCCACCCTTTTCTTCCTAATGTAAAACTAATGTCTCAACAAATGAAACTGATTGGTAGAAAATGTAACTTGAAAAAAGAGACATTGCACATACTTTTATAAACCAAGATATCTTTAATAAAAAACACGTTAAACAAACAAACAAAACAAAGCAGAGAACCAGAGCACCAGGCTGGAAAAGGTAACATATTACTGACTTTATCTTCCTTCTTGCAGCCTCTAATTCCTTGCACTACCTACTAGTCCTAGTATTCAAACAGCTAAGATCGCAGGTGCGGTAGCAAGAGCAGCGGTGGCTAACTCCCAGTTCAAGGGTCTGTTTCACTCCCTCACCCAAACAATTTTTTCTGGGGCCCAGCACTGGCAAAAAGAAAAGAAAAACGTAAAGTAAGCACAACACTGTCATGGTCAGAGCTCAGAGAGGCCTGATGGGATCCAAATCACCCCTTCCTCTCCTTATATTGGCCATTTAATTAGCACAGGTGTGGATAGGAACTGTTGGTATGCGGCCCCCAGAGGATGGGTCAAAGGTGATAGTGGCCCTCAACACGGAAAAGTTTAGCAAGCCCTGAGCTAGAACGTTGGGTTGGAAGGGAATGTGGGAAACTTAGGTTGAATTCTCTGCTCATTTATGAAGCTTGACTGGGTACCCACTGACAAGTAACTGTGTCCTAGCCTGGCCTACTTCACAGGGATGCTGTGTACACTCTGACCCCTGCAGAGGAAGGGCAGGATGCGAATGTAATTGATTAAATAAATACAACCTCCTTCCTGCAGCAGTGCCCACCCAGTTGTCAACAGAACACAGGAAGCTGTGTCATCTAGCCTAGTATTATCTACCTTGGCTGAGCCTCAGTCTGAAGTCTTCCTCATTGTCTGCCTCCTGATGCTGCTAAGAGATGCTCGGCCTTGAAAAAGGCCTATAGCTCAGTGAAGGAGGCACTGCCTTACACACAGAAGGTCCCAAGTTCAATCCCCAGCATCTCCAGGTAATGCTGGAAAAGACCCTTGGCTGAAATCATGGAAATCGGTTTCAAAGTAAGCATAGACCATACCAGTTATGACCATATCCACATCCACATCCATAGACCATATCCACATCCATAGACCATATCCACATGCCCTATTCCCCTGGGAAGACCCAGTTGTTATCACTGAATCAGAGCAAACATCATTGTTCCCAGATGGAGGTTTGCTCTGACCTTGTGCCAAAAAGTGTTTTTTTTTCCTGGGAGGAAACGATGGGGCAGGAGGAAAACCTCTCAGACCCACACTTTCTAACCTCAGGGCAAATGCAAGTCTAGATGAGCCCCAAGATGAGTATAAAGCAGCCTCCTTTGTTCCTTTGCAACACGGGAGCTCTTGTAAGCAACACATGTATTCTGACACTGAGCTATAGTGTCGTGCCCCTCACACTCGTGCTCGATACAAACCATCACTCCTGTTCTGCGTCCCTAGCATTTTGTAATCAGAAGTGCACTGCTTCTGAATGTGAAAGTTTTATACTTAGGAATGATAGCAACAGCCATTGATAAACCATAACATTGGCTTCAGGCAATCCCAGTTTTCTTCCCAGACTTCTCCCCCACCCAACGTCTATGACCCCCAGTGTTTCCAATCAACATAAGGTGTTGACTGAAGGATTGGTTTGCTTTCAGAACGCACCAGAAGGCTCCATTGTGTTCCTGCATGCTCCTGAGGAAACTGGCCTGACACCCAAGCAGTGGGAAGAAGTTGCAGCAGTGATGGAGGTAAATATAGGAATCCACTAGAGAGGCCAATGACTGGACAGACCGGGAATATGGAACCTGCAGCCCTCCTAATGTTCTTGGAGTCAAACCACTTTAAACAGGCATGGCTTCCCCCAGAGAATCCTGGGAAATGTAGCTTGTTAAGAGTGCTGAGAGCTGTTAAGAGACCGCTGTTCTTCTCAAAGAGCTACCATTCTCACAATTCTCTGGGAAGAGGGATCGATTGTTAAACCACTCTGGGAACAGTAGATCCATTAATGGAATAGAGGTCTCCTAACGACTCTCAGCAGCTTAACAAAGTAAAGTTGGCAGAATTATTTGGTGGTGGAGAGGGTGCTGTGACTGTTCAAAGTGGTATGATCAGGCACAAGCAAACTCGGCCCTCCAGATGTTTTGGGACTACAACTTCCACCATCCCTGACCACTGGTCCTGTTAGCTAGGGATGATGGGAGTTGTAGTCCCAAAACATCTGGAGGGCTGGAGTTTGCCTATGCCTGAGTATGATGCTGCTTTAAAAGCATAGGACATATGGGGCCCGTCTGATAGTGGGAAAATGGAAATTTGTTGGGAAAAGGGGCATGGTATGGAGTGGAGTGGTTAGAATCCTGAGGAGAAGCACTTGATACCCAGTTTGCTTCAGGTCCCACTTGTGAAATAATAATAATGATGATGATGATGATGATGTTTTATTTATATCCCGCCCTCCCCAGCCAAAGCCAGGCTCAGAGCAAAAAGATAATGTGCAAGTATATCCCATGCTTCACTGCAAATAATTATGCCATCCCCACTTCCAAGAAGTGAGATGTTTTAGGGCAGAACTTTAGGGTTTTTCTTTTTCTTTTGATGAGTGGACACTTAAGAGACTTCAGCTCTGTTTGTAACACTGGCTTGATTTACAAATTTACAAGCAAATCACAGCGAAGGCAAAACAGGCCCTCCTCCAGCAGGCTGCACATTCACCAGAGACTACATCCCAAAATCTTTCCCTTTCCCTTCCATTAAAAAAACCTCTGCTGCCTGCCTGTTTTCTGAGATCCCACCTTGCAGGTGAATTGTGCATTTGGGAAATAACATCAAGTCATTAGGGAGAACATTAAGCTTCCTTAGTCAAGTCCTAGACACTCATCAGAAGGCACTTTTAAGCAACCTTGTAAATCAGACCATAAAAGTCAATAGCCTGTCCAAAAGAACAAAACCAAACCTCTGTTCTGCTGGAGCTCCAGTCCTCTTACAGCAGCCTGCTGTATTTTGTGCTAGACATGGAGAAGTGGGCTTCCCTGCTATGATAGCAAATTTGCTTTGTATGCTGGGCTACAGAGAAGGAACAGAGTGCTCCATCCATCCTCCTTTAGCTCGCTCACTCACTTCTATGGAATTCCGTTTACTCACCCAACAGCAATTCCTTGTCACGATTGCCAGGCTAGTGTTTCAATGCAAAGCTGTTTTTAGGTAAACCCATGGCTATCGTTCACAAGAATGTCAGCCAAATTCACAATGCATCTGTTTCTTCTTTCTTCCCACCTCTTTTGGGTCCTTAGAAAAAGCACCTCTTCCCCTTTTTCGACATCGCAGCTCAAGGACTGGCCTCAGGAAACTTGGACAAGGATGCCTGGGCAGTGCGGCATTTTGTAGCAAAGGGATTTGAGCTTCTGTGTGCCCAGTCTTTTTCCAAAATGTTTGGCCTATACGGTAGGACTCTAATGGTCACACTAAGTGGGTCCTAGGCAGACTGAGCATCTTGGGGAAGGGCAGTAGAATCCCTTTCACGTTGAAGAGCAAAAGCATGCATAAGAGGATTGTGGGATCATCCCAGGTAACGTCGTCCCCTATCACCGTATCAGGAACCTGTGTTACATTGCTGCCAAATCCATTTCTGCTGTGTGCTTTGATGATGATGATGATGATGATGATAATAATGATAATTTATTATTTATACCCCACCCATCTGGCCAGGCCTCCCCAGCCACTCTGGGCGGCTTCCAACAAAATATTAAAATACAGTTATGCATCAAACATTAAAAGCTTCCCTATACAGGGCTGCCTTCAGATGTCTTCTAAAAGTATGGTAGTTGTTGCTCTCTTTGACATCTGGTGGGAGGGCATTCCACAGGGCAGGTGCCACTACTGAGAAGGCCCTCTGCCTGGTTCCCTGTATCTTCGCTTCTCGCAGTGAGGAAACCGCCAGAAGGCCCTCAGCAATGGACCTCAGTGTCCGGGCAGAACGATGGCGGTTGAGATGCTCCTTCAGGTATACTGGACCTTTCCCTTCCATTGATGGCATGATGCAGGCCTAGGCAGCACAGCTCTGCAGCCCCCTTGCATATGCTCTCGGTGCGTAAGTCTGGTTTTTGGTTTTTTTGTCACTTGCATTTAAAACCTACCCATCATCATGGGGACCCAGGAGTTGTAAGAAAAAGCAGGTGTCACATACAGTGGTACCTCGGGTTAAGAACTTAATTAGTTCTGGAGGTCTATTCTTAACCTGAAACTGTGCTTAACCTGAAGCACCACTTTAGCTAATGGGGCCTCCTGCTGCTGCCACGCTGCTGGAGCACGATTTCTGTTCTCATCCTGAAGCAAAGTTCTTAACCTGAGGTACTATTTCTGGGTTAGCGGAGTCTGTAACCTGAAGTGTATGTAACCTGAAGCATATGTAACCCGAGGTACCATTGTAGTTGGGAAGGCTGCCTGGAAGTCCATGACTGCTCTGAAAAGATATCATACCTATATTTAAACACTAGAGGTCCTCAAAGACAAGAGAAAGGAGTTCAGAAATTAGTGAATAACAATGAGTGCACTCACTCTGAGTTATTCTCTTTAGCTTGCTACATCAGTGCCCAGTTTATATCACATTTATGCTTGTGATGACTTTATGGAGTGGTTTAAAAATCCACTCCTATTGTGTGCCATCCAAAAGCGCTTCCAAAATTGGATTGAATGGCAGGGGTAAAAACTGACTGATGCTCTTCAGGAACTAATCACATAGGAGAAGAGCCGTAGCTCAGTGGGAGGGCATTTGCTTTGCATGCAGAAGGTTCCAGGTTCAATCCCCAGCATTCCCAATTTGGGCTAGGAATGTCCCCCACCTGAAGCACTGGGGAGTCACTGAGAGTGTAGATTTCGGTTTATTAAATTCCACCACAAAAAGGCCCAAAGTGATTTTACGACCAGTATAAAAATCCAATGATAAAAATGCACAAGCATATTAAAAAAAATCATCATAATGCAGACTTCCAATCACTGGTCCTGCCCAGTCCCCAGTAAATGAAAACCCTGCCTGCCATAAGTGGACCTCTCTGGGGAAAGCCTTTCATATATATTGAGCTATTATAGAAAAGGTATGTTCTCTCATTGCCACCCTCTGAATGTCCTTCATGTTAAGTTGTGGGTGAACATATCAGACGACACAGCGATTCTTCAACAGCTCTTGTTGAAGAGACCAGAACAGAACTGAACTGAAGGGCTCAGTCAGCCTGCTTATATAGAGCTCCAATACAACGTTACTGTAGCAACTTTCTAAAACTATCCAATCACTGAACGTCACTTTCGATCCTTCATTTGCATAACTATCTACAGTATCCCCCTGCTGGCCCAGGGTGAAAACTTCAGTACATAACACTTCAGAGGTGGCATACAGAGAAGGGGCTCAGGTGACGATCTCAGGGTCTGGGCAGGTTCATATGGTGAAAGTGTAGACGACCGCATGCCTGATGGTCCTGAGTGGACTGACTCAATGTAAGGCATGTTCCTATATTCCTTTGAAGGCTTGGGTGGGTTGTCCTCTGGACTGGCAGCCTCAGGGATACTCCCTGCAACTCCCACCAGCCCCAGCAATTTCTGAATATGGTGGAGGAATAGGAAGTGTAGTCTGAAGCTGTTCTGTGTGGGGAGAGCTGGCTGCGTACGCATGTAATTGATTCGTATACAATTGATTGGCAACGCCATCTTCAACATGTCCTGTTCCCTTTTGCTATTTCATGCAGAGGAACGAGTTGGAAATCTCATTGTGGTGACGAAAAACAACCAGACACTGATCAGAATCCAATCCCAGCTGTCCAAGCAAATATGCATGACGTGGTTTAGCCCCACCAGCTTGGGGGCAAGGGTCATTGCAATGGTGCTGACCAGCCCTGCACTGCTGTACGAGTGGTAAGAAGGAAGGCAGGTAACTCCGCGGTCGGGGCTTGTATTGGACAAAAAAAAATTGTCTGCTGCTGTTTTGTGAATATTTTGATGCACCTGTAATGAAGGTATTTCCCAAAATATTTTTGCACAATTGCTGTGAGTGGGAAAAGGCAACAGGAAAGAGGGAGATCAGCAACCGAGGCAAGGGTTGAATAAATACAGTATTTTTCACTCTATAAGATGCACCAGACCACAAGACGCACCTAGTTTTTGGAGGAGGAAAACAAGAAAAAAAATATTCTGAATCTCAGAAACCAGAACAGCAAGAGGGATCGCTGCGCAGTGAAAGCAGCAATCCCTCTTGCTGTTCTGGCTTCTGGGATAGCTGTGCAGCCTGCATTCACTCCATAAGATGCACACACATTTCCCCTTACTTTTTAGGAGGGAAAAAGTGAGTCTTATAGAATAAAAAATACGGTATTCTGCAGGCACCAGTGCTATAATAGCATTCAATGCAGGAGTGAGGAACCTGCAGCCCTCTGGACTCCATTTCCCACCAGTCCCAGCTAGTGTGGCTGCAAGTGGTGCCAACTTTTATCACCCTGTTTATTTGCCTGGACATTTAAAATGTTGGCTATGCTGTTGGTTTGCTCTGTTGTGTTAACTGGTTCATGAACTGTTTCATTGATTGTTTTGTTCTTGTTGCATTATTGTATTTTGTCTTGGTATGGTTGGTTCAGTCATGCCTGTAATATTCTGCCCTGGTGCCCTTAAGGATGAAGGGAACATTTAAAAGCACTCAGAGATCTCATATACAGATTATATCATTAGTATCAAAAATTAGGGTTGTCCACTTGTCAAAAGAAATCAGGAATGATTAATTTATGGGTGGTTGACTGGTTCATTCATCCTCTCTTTAAATCTGCATAGATGCCTATACATAAGACCAGCTGCTAAAGCAAAAAAGCTTCTTTCTTGTTTAGAGGATTTGTGGACATGTCACAGCAGGTACTACTGTGAAAGGAGAAATGCCTCATTCTTAAAATCTATAGATGTCTAGACCCAGGGATTGGTTTGATTCTGGTTTGATATCATAATTTGTATGGATTGCTCAAACCACAGTTTCGTTTTGATATCCATACCAAGAAACTGTGGTACCAAGAAACTGTGGTATGGATATCAAAACGAAACTGTGGTTTAACTGAACATTGAATTAAAGCATGAAAGCGAAGGGAGGAAAGAAATAATGTGGGAGTATGTGAACGCATGACTCATTCCTAGTTCAACAAACTTTAGTTTGTTGGGCTGTAATCATTATGTCTGAACCAGACTTCGCAGCCGTTTTGAGGAGAGAGCGGGGGGGGGGGAGGGGATCTCATGCCATATCTTTTCTATCCCTGTCCTCAGGAAACAGAGTCTGTTGAAACTAGTAAAGAGAATTATGCTGATTAGAGAAAAACTGAAGGAAAAGCTGCGTATCCTGGGGACACCGGGTTCCTGGGAACATATCACAGCCCAATCAGGAGTCAATAGCTTTGTCGGGCTCCTCCGTATGTATCCAATAAGCCTATTCTCTTGCCAGTGGAAGCTGGTCCATTAGGGCAAATGGGGCACTGATCCATCACTTTGGTCTGCCTTAAGTCAGCCCCCACCTGACTGCCTTCTTACTTAAAACCAGTCCAGAGGCTGGAAGGAGCAGCTATCTGCTTCCTCCTCCCCTGACTCAGTGTTGGCCTTGTAGAACTCAGCAGAGAGGAGGATTTGTATGGACAAATCTAGAATTAGTTGGCTCTGCCTGTCATTGACTTTTGCTCTGCCTACTGTTCACCTCCCTGCCTTCCTCCCTACAAGTCCCAAAGGGCACCAGCCACCATTGTCTGTTGCTGAGCCCAAGACAGGTCTGCATTTGGACTGTGCCCTTCCTAAACACTAGGCTCAAACCTTACCAGGCGTATGTACGGGTATCTCTCTTTGCTCCCTGCTTCGCCATGGTGAGTTGCCATTGATCTGGATGCATGGTAGAGGAACCACAGGACTGCTTCACTGTGTGTTCGGCGTGGTCTGTTCACCTGGAAGTAACTTCCATCCCACATCTCTAAACTGCCCTTAAGAGATAGAACTCAATGTTGCAGAGTGGAAATCACAGCCTCTGCACTGTTTTCTATATGCTTTTTAAAAGGTGGAAGTTGGAGGTGCAACAAACCATTGCAGCATGAAGTGCTTTTGTTCAGGGTTCCAGTCTCTCCTATTTGTTCCCCTTCCCGTGGTTTTCTGTTTTGTTCCCCAGCAGTGAGTCATAATTCTGTAGCCACTGAGCACACTCATTGAGCTGTTTCCCAGTCCCCCCGGCTACTCTATTCTCATCCACTGCCCCACCTGTCTCCCAGATCATTCCCTATTCCTCCTACTCTCTTGGTCACTCCCCTTTCTGTTCAGCTGCTCAGATGCCAGTCTGCAAACCAAAACAACTTTGGTCCCCATCTCTAGCAGAACATCAGTTAAGGTGCTTGTGCATGTCAGTGGGAACCCTGAGTGCACCAGATTCCTACTGAGATTGAGAGTCTATACACATGTGACTTCCTGGCTCACATACCACTCACAGGGCAGAGCCACCAGAAGGTGGAGGTGAAGACTCCACACCTGCCTATAAGAGATCTTGGGATGGGGGCCCATGATCTCACTTCCATCTCTAAATTTTGTTTATGTTCAAGGGATGGAATCAGAGGTTACAAGTAATTTTTTTGGGGGGGGGAATCATCCCCCAGACCTGCAGATTTCACCCCGAAAACATGTATTGAGGTGTAAAGGTAAAGGTAAAGGTACCCCTGCCCGTACGGGCCAGTCGTGTCCGACTCTAGGGTTTGTGCGCTCATCTCACTTAAGAGGCCGGGAGCCAGCGCTGTCCACAGACACTTCCGGGTCATGTGGCCAGCGTGACGAAGCTGCTCTGGCGAGCCAGCACCAGCGCAGCACACGGAAACGCCGTTTACCTTCCCGCTATAAAGCGGTACCTATTTATCTACTTGCACTTAGGGGTGCTTTCGAACTGCTAGGTGGGCAGGAGCTGGGACCAAAAGACGGGAGCTCACCCCGCCGCGGGGATTCGAACCGCCGACCATACGATCGGCAAGTCCTAGGCGCTGAGGTTTTACCCACAGCGCCACCCGCGTCCCGTATTGAGGTGTACAGATCCCCAAATCTTTGTTGGATTGAGGTGGATGCTTTTAATATGCTAGTCATGCTTCGAAATGTTTCCATTCTAAACAAAATGTGGCTTCACAAAGTCACGATTCATGAATGATTACAAAAGCTTTGGATTCCGCACTAATTATATTTCCCAATTAGCTAGCTGTATTAGAGTTAAATAAGAAACTGAAACGTCCACTTTATTCAAACTGGGCATGGAAATGAAGCAAGTTCTCCAGTTCAGAGATGATCTGAATGAACAGGCAGAATCAGGAGAATGGCAGGAACATTAAAAAAAATAAAATAAGTTGCATTAATGGTTTTATTGTTTCTGTGTCTGCCGCCTGGAATCCTTTGGGAGGAAGGGTGAGATATAACTTTGTAATCATCATCATCATCCATTACACTGGGGATGGGAAATTCTCGAAGCTGCAGATTTGTATTACGTCAGCCATTCAAGCTAAGTAAACGTGAGCATTATTTGTATGCATGCTTCATTTGCATCCTGTGTGTTTCGTAATTCTTTTGAGGTTGTTTGCATTGATGAGCCTTTTGATCGTAGCTGGTTTTATGCCCAGGCCAATACTGTTACTTATTTCCTGCCAGCTTCCCAAGTGGATTTCCTGGCGCAGCACAAACATATCTACCTCCTTGCAAACAAGCAGATCAACATCTGCAGCATTAATTCAAAGAACCTGGATTATGTTGCACGGAGCATCCATGAAGCAATTGTGACCACGATCCCTCACATCCAAAGTGAGCTCATGGAGAGTTCGAGTGAGAACCATGAACCTTCAAGAGAGTCCACCTGAATGATTTTTTAATAGGTGCAATAAAACTTTGTTTTGCAAAGCCTCTGTATAAGATTAGATCAAAGGTATTTGTTTGGACTTCAAGCCATGAATAATTTCTAAAAACATAATCTCCCATTCCGGATGCAAAATGTCAAGTTTGCTACCCAGCCACCTTTGATCATTAAAACAATCTGTTGTACTTTACTACAAAGACATCAAAAGCCACCTTTTCAGTTATGTATTTGTTAAGCTAATTTAAACAACAAAGCCCCTTTTCTTGATTTGATTGCTTTGCATCACTTCCAAACTACAAGTGATAATTGCTGAACATAGAAAACAACATGTCAGAATGAAGGCTCTCTTTAGATCTGTTCCCCCCTGACATCTAGATTTTTAGGTGGAGGGTCAGAGGATGACCTAAAGGTCTCTGGTACAACCCCCTGTTGATGCAGAAGATCCACAGCTGCAGCATCCCTGATAGGTGACCATCCAGGCTTTTATTGGAAACCTCTGCTGAAGAGGAGTAAACCACCTCCCAAGGCAAACTGTCCCACACAGCCTGTACCGTCAAGAAGTTATTTGGAATGTTTAATCCAAAACCCCTGTTCTTGCCATTTGAACAATATATGTTCAGATCCTGACCTTTGGAGCAACAGCAATCGACTTTGCTCCATCTACCATGTCACAGCACTTTAAATATTTGAAGATGGCTATCATATCACCAATTAAGACATCTTTTATCCAGGTTGACCATAACCTGTGACTTCGACCTTTCCTAATAGGGCATAGTGTCCATGTTTGTCACCCTCCTGTGGACACATTCTAGCTCCTCTGTGTTCTTAAATATCTGCGCAGAGAACTGAACACAGTACAGTGATTAAAGATTATCTGCACTTACCTTCCTCTGCATTTTTCAGACATGGCTCATACTTTAAAGCTCTGTGTTCAAGTGCCACACTTTTAATGGGGGGGAGGGGGGAGCTGGGACTGCATACCCTTTAGTACTCCCAGAAAAACAGCACTGCTTGTAGTCCTAATCCCACTTACCTGGACGTAAGGATGGACAAATCTGCCATTTTATTCTCTAATGAAATTTAGGGATACAGTGGTACCTCGGGTTAAGTACTTAATTTGTTCCGGAGGTCCATTCTTAACCTGAAACTGTTCTTAACCTGAAGCACCACTTTAGCTAATGGGGCCTCCCGCTGCCGCCGCACAATTTCTGTTCTCATCCTGAAGCAAAGTTCTTAACCCAAGGTACTATTTCTGGGTTAGCGGAGTCTGTAACCTGAAGCGTATGTAACCTGAAGCGTATGTAACCCAAGGTACCACTGTACAGTGATACCTCTGGTTGTGAACGGGATCCGTTCCGGAGGCCAGTTTGCAACATGAAAAGAGCGCAATCCACAGCGGCGCATCTGCGCACGCACAGGTTGCAATTTGCCGCTTCTGCGCATGCACGTGACATCATTTTGCGTGTCTGCGCATGTGCGAGCGGCAAAACCTGGAAGTAGCCCTTTCCGGTACTTCCAGGTCACTGTGGGACGTAACCTGAAAGAACGTAACATGAAGCAAACATAACATGAGGTATGACTGTACTTTGTTACCGCAGAATCACAGAATTGTAGAGTTGGAAGGGCCAACCTCAAGCGCAGCGGTGGAGCGAGCCGATTGGGTGCCTGGGGCGGTGCATGTGCCCTGTGCCCAGGGACGGGGCCAGCCACCTGCGGGGCAGGGGCAGCCGGGGCAGGGGGGCCTCCGGAGTCTGCCTGCCTCCTCCCACTCAGCCGCCCTACAGCTGAGGGGGAGGCGGCAGGCAGACCATTCTACTATTGAACAGCTTTTACCATCAGAAAGTTCTTCCTGATGTTTAGTTGGGATCTCCTTTCTCATAACTTGAAGCCGTTGGTTCAGGTCCTAGCCTCTGGAGCAGGAGAAAACAAGCTTGCTCCATCTTTCATGTGACTGCCCTTTAGATATTTGAAGATGGCTATCATATCTCCTCTTTCCTAGGTGAAACATATACAATTCCATCAATTGTTACTCATAAATCCTCAGGAATATCCCACCTTGGCCTGCCTGAGCCACAGTAACGCCATCTTATGTGTGATGTCTCTCTGTTTATAGAAGGAATTGTCCTCCTTCTCCACGCCAAAATGCACCCCCTTAAAAGAGATGTTTCTTCTTGGTTCTGGGTCTCTCTTGCCTCCTTGCTAGGAGGGGAGGGAGCTCTGTTGCAACAGAAAAATAAAGATCTGCTTTGCTTTCACTGCATCCTACCGCCATCCTTTCATCTCCGACCGATCATGGACTTAGGGGACTCAGTCCCTTGGGGAGTTGGGCAGCAAAAGCCAACCACCCCTATTTTTCTATATCAGCGCAAATCATGATGAATGCACCAAAAGAAAAGAAAAAGATGTACTGCGTAGGCGTTTTGGATTTATATCCCTGCTTTATGAAACTAAGTGATTTGGCTCATTTTGTTTGACTGTATCCGATAATCCTGGATGATTCTTTTCTAAGTCCTTCGCTTGCTGAGCTAGTCTGTGCAGGCCCATGTCATGATTTTCTGAATGTCTCTGTGTGGCTTCTGGATGTAGCTGTGTGAAATTTCCCCTTTCCAAGCCTCTTTGCTCAAGTGCTTGATCATTTGCTCTGGCTGCCTGATTGGTTTTTGAGCAAGAGCAGCAGGAGTCCTTCCTGGGCTCTTGTTGTTCTCCAGGATTAGCTTTGTCTCTCGTCTTGTGGGTTTATGTATTTGCCAGCCTATTTAAAATTCAGTAGTGCCAGAAATGCACACTGAGATTTGAGCAGAAACCAAGAAGAAGATGACCAAAATACTACAGCCCCCACCCCCTGCCAGTTTGTTTGTTTATCTTCACTTTCTCCATCAAACTATATGGCTCTTTCTTCCATCCCAGCAACGGCGCATGGCCCTTTGAGGGTCTTGATTATACATGTGGGAGAGAATGATCTAGTGGACCAAAAAGGCATTGCCCTTGCCCTTGCTGCAGGGGCAGATATAAAAAGCCTGCATGTCTTGTACCCGACAATGACTATCGGCTGGTCCAATCTCCTACCCCGTCTTCACTGGAGAGGAGCTTCCAATCCCTCTCGCATCAATTATGCTGTGGAAAAAATTAACAGGGCCATGCTCAATACCATGCGGCAAATTGGTGGGTTCTCTATCCCATATCCCACCATCACAGCAGATAGAGTTGACCTATTCCGGGAGGATGGAGTGCACCTGACCCCACTGGGTAATGACCTCTGGCTCCATGACTTGCGACGAGTCCTTGGGGACTGGATAGACTGCAGGGCTTGATTGGTCCTCAGTTGTGGGACTTGGCGGTGAGGCCCCTTACGGCCTCGGGTGGTGAATTTTAGGCCTTGGCAAGGTAGCCTTTAGTCTAACATCAAGTCAGGGGGGATGCATTCATGCTCCCTCCCCATGTGGCATCGCTTGCGGGGCCCGTTAAAGGGCAAAAACCGGGAGTCCCTGGCCCTAGAGCAGCGGCATGTAGGTCAAACTCCCGGGACGAGGTCGGTGGAAGGGCATGCTGTGTAAGTTTGCGCTTTGCAGTCCCCTCTCACTGAACCTCATCTGCCTGTGTATCCTCAGCCAGGTGGGCTGAGAGGGTTACCTGTCAAGGCCTGTGCCAAGTTTCCCATTTCTGAAGTTCAATAAAGTTATGGCCAATTTGAACCCATACTCTGGTCTCTTGTCTCATCATTTGGGGTAAAGGGGTAGGCACCACAGACAGGGTTTAGCGCGTGTGCCCGCAAACTATATGGCTCTTTCTTCCATCCCAGCAATAGAGTCATATATAGAAGAGGACGATTCGGCAAGTGTGGCTTTTCAAAGGGCCAAGCTAACAGTGGCATAGTCAAGGGGAGATGAAGAGGAGCACAGCTCTGGTGCTTTTTCAGAGCAGGAGTGGTGGTATAAACTGCCCAGTGATCTTCAGATGAAGGCTGGTATAGAAATTTAATAAAATGATGCAAAATAACCATCTGGACCTGCAAGGTAATTGGTATCTCAACTTGCTCTGGCAAATGAATGAGGCAATAATGAAACTTTCAAGTTTGCCTGTGGCTGATTGCCATAGGGTTGGGCTGCCAACATGGTACCCTCCAGATGTTCTGGGACTACAACTCCCATCAAGCCCTGGGATAGTTGGTAGTCTAAAACGATTGCGGATATAGTCAAACAATCTCTGAAGGGCATTCCATTGGGTATCCCTGGCATAGAGGAAGTAAGAGGATTTATTTATGGGTGTTGATCAATGAATTTTCCCATTATGTTAGTCACGTTACATTGGTCACAGTTTATTTGCCAGGAAACTTTTTTTGGGGGGCCACAGTTGGACCATAAGCTGGACACTTGCCCATGTTAGTTCTTTATGCATACTGCCATGGATTGGGGGGTGGGGTTGATTCATACTTCAAAGGAAAACACTTCTCCAAGTTACAGATAGGTTTTTGAAGTTGCGAAACCTCACAGAGTGTTTGTTGTGGGGAAGGAAGGGAAAGGAGATTGTGAGCCACTTTGAGACTCCTTAGGGTAGTGATAAAAAGGGATATCAAGTCCAAACTCCTCCTCCTCCTCCATGCTAAGCCTCCTTAGATTCACCACCTGCCTCATGCCTTCTTTCAAGGTGTATGGATGTGTGGGTGGGGAGGATCATCTGAACATCTACAACCGTCCAGCTCTACAGTTCAATCATGGATGCCTTAGCTGAGATTCCTGCATTGCAGGGGGCTGGACTAGATGACTCTTGGGTCCCTTCCAACCCTACTGTTCTATAATTCTACGATGCTGTGATTCTGAAGGGCTCCTGTTTATCAGCTGTGAAGTGTTGAGATGCCATGTCATTATACAGCTAATCATCAAACTGTTGTTTTCCATTTAAAGCATTTTAGGGCTTATTTGGGCCTGGTGTGATGGCCTGGGATTCGGACTCGGAGGCTGAGCCTGAGGAATCCCAGCCTGCACAGGAGTCCCCGCCTCCAGAACCAGCTGAGCTGGGGTTGGGGCATGAGCCTGAACGGTCCTCACCTGTGTTGGATCCTCAGGTGCAGGCACCAACTGAGTCTGCTCTGGCTCCTGAAGTGATGGAGGACCCATTGCCTGCAAGTGCTCCACTCTCAGCCCTGTCAGGGGAAGCTGAGGTTGCCTCTGGGTCCGGTAACCCTCCAGCCTCTCCTGAGCTGCAGAGGCTCAGGGCAGAGAGGCGGAGGGAACTAAGTTCCCGCAGGAGGAGTGCTCACCTCCAGGCCAGGAGAGGCGAGTCACCTGTGGACCAGGGCCGCCCTATGCCTCAGGGCAGATAAAAGCCAGCCAGCCCCAGTCCCAGGTTGCGGGAGCAACATTGTTGGTAGCCTGTTCCTGCCTGCACCCTGTCCTGCTCTTCTGCCAGAGTTCCTGACCTCACCAGACTCACTGCCTTGGACTCCGCTTCAGCTTTGATGGACAGCCTCCATACCGCACCCTCGACCTCGGACTGGACTCAGACCTTGCCGCACGGTTAACCCTCAGGACCAGCACACCTAGTTTGTATTTTGTGTGTGTGTGTGTGTGTGAAATCCTGTGGCAAGGCTAGTTAACTGAGTGGTTTCTATGGCAACCTCATGGGCCGTGCCTGAAGCAGAGACCGAGAAGATCAAACAATGGGAGGCAAGCAAATTGCAGAGGACCAGAGTGTGCTAAGTCTGGAAACATGAGATGTCTAAGAGAGAAGCGTCCAAAGTGATACTAATGAAGAGAAAGGACTCAACAGCCTCTGCCCTCAAAAAAATGAGGGTACGGATATTTTAACAACAAGGCAGGAAATGAGGAAAGCTGATAAAGTAGCTTTAAAAAAAAGTGTTCAGGGAAAATAACTAACAACGTGTTACCAAACTCACAACCTGTGTTGTTTCACTGAACAGTCTCCCCGTGAAGTTGCAAGTACCGAATGTTCTCAAGGGCACAGAGAACCATACACGTCATTTTGACACCTCGCAAAGGACATTTATGTATGTTCTGTTTTCTAACAATGCAGAAAAGGACAAGAATAAGCAGAGGAGGAGAAGAAGAGTTTGGATTTGATATTCTGCTTCATCACTACCCTAAGGAGTCTCAAAGCAGCTAACAATCTCCTTTCCCTTCCTCCCCCACAACAAACACTCTGTGAGGTGAGTGGGGCTGAGAGACTTCAGAGAAGTGTGACTAGCCCAAGGTCACCCAGCAGCTGCATGTGGAGGAGTGGGGACGCGAACCCAGTTCACCAAATTATGAGTCTACCGCTCTTAACCACTATACCACACCGGCTCTCTGATGGATGAATCTGTCAATTCCGTCTTCTCTCTTTCTCCTTTTCTCCAGTCTGCTTCCACATCAGGCATTTAAAGCACTTTATCAGTAAAAACAGAAGAAGATGCCTTGTTGGATCAGGCAAATGGCTCATCTACTGCAATGCGCTCTACGTGGGGCTACCTTTGAAGGTGACCCAGAAACTGCAATTAATCCAGAATGCAGCAGCTAGACTGGTGACTGGGAGTGGCCATTGGGACCACATAACACCGGGCCTGAGAGATCAGTATTGGCTCCCAGTACGTTTCCGAGCACAATTCAAAGTGTTGGTGCTGACCTATAAAGCCCTAAACAGCCTCAGTCCAGTATACCTGAAGGAGTGTCTCCACCCCCATTGTTCATCCCGGACACTGAGGTCCAGTGCCAAGGGCCTTCTGGCGGTCCCCTCCCTGTGAGAAGCCAAGTTACAGGGAACCAGGCAGAGGGCCTTCTCGGTAGTGGCACCCGCCCTGTGGAACGCCTTCCCACCAGATGTGAAGGAAATAAGCAGCTATCTTATCTTTAAAAGACATCTGAAGACAGCCCTGTTTAGGGAAGTTTAATGCTGTATTGTTTTTAACACTCGATTGGGAGCCACCCAGAGTGGCTGGGGAAACTCAGCCAGATGGTAAAAGGTAAAGGTAAAGGGACCCCTGACCATTAGGTCCAGTTGTGGACGACTCTGGGGTTGCAGCGCTCATCTCGCTTTATTGGCCGAGGGAGCCAGTGTACAGCTTCCAGGTCATGTGGCCAGCATGACTAAGCTGCTTCTGGCGAACCAGAGCAGCGCATGGAAATGCCGTTTACCTTCCTGCCAGAGCGGTACCTATTTATCTACTTGCACTTTGAGGTGCTTTCGAACTGCTAGGTTGGCAGGAGCAGGGACCGAGTAACAGGAGCTCACACAGTTGCGGGGATTCGAACCGCCAAACTTCTGATCGACAAGTCCTAGGCTCTGTGGTTTAACCCACAGCGCCACCCGCGTCCCAGATGGGCGGGGTATAAATAAATTTATTATTATTATTATTATTATTATTATTATTATTATTATTATTTATTGTCTAGCATCTGGTTCTTGTGCATGCCAACCCCATGCCTATGGGAAACCTGCAAGCAGTAATGCCAGACACTCTCCCCTCCGGTTTCAAGCAGCTGGTATTTTGAAGCAAACTTGTCTCTGACCATCACAACTGTGATGGTTCCCCCACCCAAAGAATCCTGGGAAGTGTAGTTTTTTAAGGGTGCTAAGAGTTGCTACAGCTACAATTCATAAAGCATGTTACCAGTCAATCCCTCTTGCCAGGGAGCTCTGCTGCACACCCTAACTCACTGATTTTTCCAGACAGTGGTGTATCCTGAAACTAGGATCTTGGAACTCTTTCTTGGCTGGTTGCAGAAATGGAGAGAGGTATGTGTGCATATATAACCCCCTGACTTTTGTGGGGTTGAAATGTAATCTATTGTGGCACATTCTGGGAGATGTCATATAATGAACTGAAAAAAATGTTGAAAATAACTTTTTTCTTTAAAAAAAATCAAAGCTTTCCTTCTAGGAATTCTAGGTGCCGAAATACCAACAGATCAGAAAAGACTATTTATGTACATGACCACTGTTGCTGGGATGTTACTAGCCCAAAGATGGAAAGAGGACAGAGTCCCTACCAGAGAAGAATGGCATGTTAAGTTGATGGACTATGCCAAAATGGCAAAAATGACCAGAAGAATCAGAAATCAGAAAGACCAAAACTTTAATAAGGAATGGGGAAAATATATAATTTCCCTTAAAAATCATTGTAAACAATGAAAATTATTAGTAGGATTGGAATAATACTTGTAGGTTAACGTTGAATTATGGTTGTAATGGAGACTTAATAGATTTGGATTAATAGAGAAGACGCAGGAGGAAAAAGTTAACTAAGGACCCACAAAGGGGAGGAGGGAAGTCCAGAGGAATCTACGGAATTCTCTTTTTATTTTGGTTGTTTGACAGTTGTTTGTAAATTTCAAAATTTGAATATATATATATATATTTATTTAAAAAAAGAAGAGATGAAATCTAATGTACAAAAGGAAGACACACATCTATTGCTCCACTCACTTCTGCCCCCGCCTTGCCCAGCGCTGGAATGTGCCCCTGGAGAAGCTATCTACATTGGAAGGTAGCCTTTGGGCTGAACAAAGTTTCCCACCCCTGCTGAACAGGAAGCAATTGGAGGCAGAAATCATGAAAATAAAGTGTTGCTGGGGTCCTTTGCAGAACAGGACTCAAGTCTGAGTATATGTTATAGAAAGATCTTGACAGCGTGGCCAATAATTGTAGGATAATATTGATGTTTTATGTGCCCATGTGCAGAGCCACCATTTTAGTTGAGCTTCCATCTGATTGTAGATTTTCTTGTTTTCCAGTAGTTACTTCATTAGCTCTCCCTAGATACATCTCTCTTGCTTTATTATGTTCATCTTACGGCACATGTTTCTCTCCCCTGTTGCCTTTGTATTTCATTCCTAGCAAACGTCATCGTTGGCATTTTGCTTCTCTTCAAAAGACAGACGCTATCAACGTGACAGTAAATTAGATAAGATGTCTAATTAGCATACTTTATTCATACTTATCCCAATTGCAATTATACATAATTTGCAATTATTCACAGAATTTGATTTTTATAAAGTGCAAGAATATATAGTGTCCTCAAGTGGGTAGTATTAGCAGTGGCAAATGTATAAAGATTTGTTTTCCTTCTTTTGTATTTATATTCCCCCATGAGGCATAGTTGCAGAGTCTGGGACTTCTTAGTTTAGAGAAAAGGCAAATAAGAAGTGAAATGATAGAAGTTTATAAATTGATCCCTGGCATACAGAAAGTGGATAGAGAAAAGCTCTCTCTCTCTCAGGTGACAAGAACTCATAAAGGTAAAGGGACCCCTGACCATTAGGTCCAGTCGTGGCCGACTCTGGGTTGTGGCGCTCATCTCTCTTTACTGGCCAAGGGAGCCAGCGTACAGCTTCCGGGTCATGTGGCCAGCATGACTAAGCCGCTTCTGACGAACTAGAGCAGCGCACGGAAACACCATTTACCTTCCCACCGGAGCGGTACCTATTTATCTACTTGTACTTTGACGTGCTTTCAAACTGCTAAGTTGGCAGGAGCAGGGACTGAGCAATGGGAGCTCACCCCGTTGTGGGGATTCAAACCACCAACCTTCTGATCGGCAAGTCCTAGGCTCTGTGGTTTAACCCACAGCGCCACCCGTGTAAAGCTGAATGTTGGAAGATTCAGGACAGATAAAAGAAATAGTTAAACTATGGAACTCATTCCCACAAGAGACAATGATGGGCCCCAGTGATGGTACTATTAAGTGTTGCTGGGGATGGTAACTCTGTGCTCAGAGGGAAATAATGTGTTTCAATGAGGGTTTTGGGGATTTTTTGGTGTTAAAATCAAGCAGTGTATACATTCTCTGAAATACAGTGGTACCTCTGGTTACGAACGGGATCCGTTCTGGAGCCCCGTTCACATCCAGAAGTGAACGCAACCTGCGTCTCCGTGTCTGTGTATGTCGCTATTTGCTGCATCCGCGCATGCGCGTGATGTCATTTTGATCATCTGCGCATGCACGAGCGGCGAAACCCGGAAGTAACGTGCTCCGTTACTTCCGGGTCGCCGCAGCACGCAACCCGAAAATCCTCATCCCGAAGCTACTTCAACCCGAGGTATGACTGTAAAACAAATAAATGTGCTTTAAAGGTATAGTGTGTGTGCATCCTCAAAGCACCTGACTTCCCCCAAAGAATGCTGGGAACTGTAGTTTCTCCATCACAGAGATACAATTCACAGAACCCTTTAAAGAACTACTGTTCCCAGCATTCTTTGGGGGATGTTGTATGCTTTGTTGTATGTGCATAGGATGTGCTTTAAATGTATAGTGTAGATCTGCCCACAGTTTGTACATTCATAGCTTTTTTCCAGACATTCTGCCAAATGCTCTTTTAGTGAGGCTACCTGCCAGGAATGTGAACAAACCTGCTCACCTTTCTATGGTCATTTAGGTGAGCATCTGAATTGTGGAGGACTCATGTTAGCTCCAGGGTTTCCTTCAGCATGTGCCAAAATCCAATTGTTGTCCCCATGTGCCATAATAATATTGGGATGGTGCTTCCATAGAGAGCTGATGTGTTTGGATGTGGGATGCTCAGATTCAAATCCCTGCTCAGATGCAGTTATTTGAAGTACAAAAGCTCCAGCTGGGGTCAACCCTCAGGAAGTGGCCCTTTTGCAGTGAGTGCCCACACGTGGAGAAGACCATCACAGTACAAACCGTGACTGGTATGACCCACACTGTGTTTGGGGAAAAACACTAACAAGAACCTTTGTGTAGTGTTCCTGTCATCGTGCACTTACCAGAGTCCATCAAAATCCATTAACAGCAGAGGTTATTGTAAGAAGAAAGGGGAGAAAGTCTTTGAATGTCAATCTGGGGATTCATTAATGCAGCGAAAATTAGTCACATAATGCACATCCGGCTCACAATGGGAGCAATTAATCATTAGAACCACAGCTGCGCCATACATACCCAGAAGCACACATCAGACATGGGAAGCTGCCTTATAGCACACCAGAGTGTTGGTTCATCTAGCCCAGTATGGTATGCTCGGACTGGCAGCAACCAACCAAGTCAAGATCTTTCCCATCACTCACTTGATGGCCCTTGCTTCTGCATGTGACTGGGGCTCCCTGGCTGTCTTCTGCTTTTGGATGCAGTTGTGGATATCCATAGCTAAACAAATAGAAACAGCTCTGCCTCTTTGCTTTCTCTCTCTAGCAACCTTATATCTTCCACTGGATTGACTACCTCGTTCACCCTAGATTTTGTATGGGATGACCATCTTTTCACAATGGTGACAGATGGGTATAAATCGTTTTGATGCAGATCTGCCATATTTATCTCCCTCTCCTGGGATGGGGGCTGGATGCACTGGCAATCGCCTCGTTCCTTGAGGTTAATGCTGGGTTTTTCCAGGTTGGAGTCCAGAGGGTGAAGTTTCAACTTCAGTGTCCAGGGCTGGAGTTGGTTCCAAAAGTTGGCCTGAATCCTGTGTTATAGGCATCTGTTTCTCAGTGGCGGAGCTGGCCACTCGGGCGCCCGGTGTGGCGCACATGCCTTGCGCCCAGGGGTTGGGGCGAGCCGGGGATGGAGGTGGGGTGAGCAAGGCACGGTGCGCTGCACAGAGCCTCGCACGTCGTGGAGGATCTCGCTCAGGCAGAGCCGCTCCTGGCACGCGCGGGGGCGGCGCGAGCGAATCCTGCGCGGAAGAGCACGAAGAGCAGCGCGCACGGCGCCTCCGCTGCCTACGCACACACGGACCCTGCGCGCCCCGGGAGGAACCGGCTGCGCCCTCGCTACCTCCTCCTCCTTGCGCGGCTCCAGCTCGGGCGAAGAGGTCGCGGGCGAAGGTCTCCAGCAGCGCCAGATCACCCTCTCGCGCGCTGCCCTCCAGCAGCAGCCACGCGCGCGCGATCCATCAGCGGCTGGAACTCGTGCAGCAGCAGCGGAGCCTCAGTGAGAGGGAGGCAGCTGAGGGGAAGGCGGCGGGTAGACACAAGCCCCACGCTGCCATTTTGGGCAGCGCGGAGCCTGCGCCCAAGCCACCGCCCGGCGTTTTGTCACCCCCCTCAATGGTGACACCCGGGGCAGCCCGCACCCTCCTTCCTACGCCACTGGGGAGACTTGCTCAGAGGAGATCAAGTTCTGGTGTTCTGCACTGATTATGGCATTGGGTTCCTCTCGTTGGTTGTAGGCTAAAAGTAATTTGATCTTATCTTGAAGATTTTTATGAGACTGCTCTGATTTGTCTATTTCATCTGTTTCCATCCTCTTGGCCCTGATATTCCTCCCGAAACTGTAGGGTAGGTGCATTTGGGTTGGCAGCTGGTATACTGAAGGGCAGAGGCTGAGCAATCTCATATAGAAAAATCCTTGTGTCTTTCTTTTAACCTTCAGCCGATCAAACCAGCAGCACTGAATTCCTGTTGCCGCCCCAAAATGATTTTTTCTACCATTTCCCTGGGAACCTTCTCAGCACATTTGGTTTCTAGTCTTCTGGGTTGTTTTTGGTTTTGAAACTTGACCACCCCCACCCCCAATTACCTTCCCCTCTAAAAGCAGGGCTGGGTTCAGCAGCACTCTCAACCTCCTCAACTGATCAGAAAAAGGCACAACAACATCTTGGTTTATATTATCATTGTATTTCTAGGGTCTCCAAACATTGCAACAATTGCAGAAGTGGCATCATTAGATCAGAACAACAAGCAGCATTCATCTAAGATGCCTGCTGGGCTGAGGAAGGCTCTGCAGGAAGAGGACCCTGGTCTGGCAACCACTCCCTATAGAAGCGGCTCAGTGATACTCTAAACTTCTTTCTAATTAGCTGGGTGTGTGGATGCGGGTGTACATTAAATACATATAAATACATTTAGGTTTCACGGGATGTCATCCAGCTGCACAGAAGGTTAACTCTTTCTGATACGGTGGTGGTGGTGGTGGAGGAGGAGGAGGAGGAGGAAAAAAAGCTTGCCAAGGAAAAACTTGCTTTGCCATCTCTCTTGCTACTTCCTGAAAGTGGCCAGATGGTCAAATAATTAGCTGGCTACCAGGGCAATATGGCCACTTGCTAACAAGATTGTGTGCTGCCAGTGTACATTTGCTATGACCATCAGAGCAAAAGAAGCTCTGTTTTTCAATTGCTACAGGAGCCCTTTGGAAACATTCTAGAGATGCAACTTTCCCAGGAGGGCAGCAGTTGTGTGGGCTTTGCTGTTCTCTGTTGTGCTCCCTTGCCAGTTTTGTTTCTTTGCTGTTGAAAGGCTGTCATGCAAATCACTCCCTCTTCATGACCACATTTAACAAGATCTCTATCAAAAGAGAGCTAAGTGGTTTCCTTGGGAATTAATTATGGAACTTACCTGAAGTGCTGTACTCCCTGCAATATGGCACCAGTAAAACGTTCCAGTCCATGCTGGGCTTCCAGGAGCCTTCAAAGCTGACGTACCAGCAGCAACAGCTTCACAGCTCCATGAACTGTTTTCACATATGTCCCACTAGGTTTTGGAAACAGACATTATGCAATCATTATGTTTCTTTAAAATGGGTTTTGATCTAGCACAGACAGCCCCCCCCCAAGTTTTCTGAACAAATATGCTAAATACAACCCCAAATACAAACAAGGAAGAATGCAAATCAGATGTATGTTTACAAGGTTCATGAAATCCAATGGAATTGGGGCTTCTGGAATTCATTTCCAGGTTTTAAGTCGGCTATGTATGTTGTGGGTCAGGGGTTGGGAAGTTTTGGCTTTAGAAATGTTTCCTTTCATGATATAATAGTTCTTCCCCTTGATGCACCCTTTTTCTTTTTCCTTCTTTTCCTCATTAATTATAAATATGATGGGTTATGTGTTACAGATGCCCTGTTGGCAGCGTAGCTAAATTGCAGCTAGGAAGCCAAATCATGTGCAGTACTGACTCTCTTCTTGAAATTAGAACAATGCCTACTCGTTAAAATATTCAAAAGCTTTTGCTCACAAAACATATAGCTAAAGAAGAAGATATGCAAAGTATTTACCGTGTTTTTTGCTCTATAAGACTCACCTTTTCCCTCCTAAAAAGTAAGGGGAAATGTGTGTGCGTCTTATGGAGCGAATGCAGGCTGTGCAGCTATCACAGAAGCCAGAACAGCAAGAGGGATTGCTGCTTTCACTGCGCAGCGATCCCTCTTGCTGTTCTGGCTTCTGAGATTCAGAATATTTTTTTTCTTGTTTTCCTCCTCCAAAAACTAGGTGCATCTTGTGGTCTGGTGCGTCTTATAGAGCGAAAAATACAGTGCATGGGCTTAGTTTTACTTAGCTGAAGAGTGCAGCTTCTTCCTGTCTCTCTCTCTTTCCAGGACTTGCACTCAGCCTTCTGTCCATAACCCATCTTGGCCATGCAGTTCCTTCTGAGATGTTTCCACTTTCTCCTTCCAGCTCACTTCTTCTTCCTGTTCCTTTGGGAAAACATCAACTTCTGTACTTCTTTGTGTCACATACATTCACACAGAAACATTAGCTCTCCTCTCCTCTATCACGTTTAGAGAGAGACTTATCTAATACTGTCTCTTCTTCCATGTTCATGGAAATGCAGCCAGTACAGTCAAATCACTCACACCCAAAACAAAACGGAGAATGTTAAAAAAAAAGAGACCCATCCACATTTCTTCACACAAACACTGGAAAATTGATCTCAAAATAGGTCATTTTTCTCTGCCTGCTTCCTAGCTCGTGCTGGTGAGAAGATACTGTCCTCAAAAGGGAACACCTGCTTCCATTTGTAAGACAGTGACGAGAGCTCCCTGGTAGCCAACATCCAGATGTTGTTGGATTCCAACTCCCATCATCACCGGACAACCTGGCCAATCGTCAAGGATGATTGGAGTTGGGCAGGGCCAACCCAAGACATTTGCCGCTTGAGGCAAAACAGAAAACGGCATCTCTTTGGCCTCTGCCCCCTGCTGCCACCACCTCAGTAGATCACAGGTGGCCTGGGGAAGCCTTGGTGCACTGAAGGTGGCAGGGGAAGAAAAAGGAGGCCAGAGAGGAGCAGACAGCAGTGTGCAGGTGACAAATGCAGGAGGCAGCATGTGGAGCACACCTGGATCCCCTGGATCTGTTGGCTCTCCCAGCTGTCTCCATCCTGCCACCCGAGGCAACTGCCTCACTGAGACTCATGGTTGGGCTGGAGCTGGGAGTCCACTGACATCTGGAGGGTGGCAGTGAACTAATGCCAGTGTCCTGGAAATAGCAAAGATCACCAGTGTCAAAGCAATCATTCTTCAACATCAACTTCATTGGACTGGTCATGTTGTTCAGGTGTCTTGATTATTGTCTTCCAAAGCAACTACTCTATTCCAAACTTAAAAATGGAAAGCGTAATGCTGGTGGTCAACAAAAGAGGTTTAAAGACCCTCTCAGGGCTAATCTAAAAAAATGTAAGTTATATACCAACAATGGGGAAACACTGACTTGCGAGCGCTCCAACTGAAGAACAGCCTTTACCAAAGGTGTCATGGGCTTTGAAGATGCTTGAACTCAGGTCAAAAGGGAGAGACGTGCTATGAGGAAGGCACGCTTGGCAAACCCTCACCATGATCAATTCCCGCCCGGAAACCTATGTCCCCACTGTGGAAGGATGTGTGGATCCAGAATAGGCCTCCACAGTGACTTACAGACTCACTGCTAAGACCATGTTCATGGAAGACAATCTTACTTGGCTACGAGGGATCGCCAGAGAGCCATGTTAGCTTCCCCTGATAGTTTTAACATGTCTCTGATGTGTCAGTGGGATGTGTTTAACTTAAGAAATAAGAGCTTCTCAGGGATGGTGGGTTTTCTTGCCTCTTAGCTTGGTGTACCAGATTTAATATTGAGCTGAGCAATTTACAGATAGTGACCAAATACTATTTTTGAGCTCCTGCTTCAGGCTTTTCTTCCCCATTTTGTTTCTTCCTTATTTCCTGATGAGCTCCCTCCTTGTCTTGTACCTGCAACGGGGAGCCAGGAATAGCTAAGGTTTTCCGTGAGTGTCTATACTTAACAGTGAAGGTGACTCAGCTGTTGTGCGATGTGTGAAATACTCTCTGGTATACTGCTAAAGTTCAGAGAACAGACAGAAAATCCCTTTCCAGGCTACATCCAATCGTCCTACATTACTTAGTTACACCTTTAGATCCTGCCATTACCCTATGCATTTTTCATCTTGCCCTTTGCTAAAATCAATTAAGGGGTGTAAATTTGTTCTGCCGCCTCACACAAGGAGGAGGAAGAGGAAAAGCAGGGGGAACTTGATAATGCCAGACAAATTCACAGTCATTACTGTCCCCAGCAGCAGGATGTCCAGGAATCATTATAACTTGTGACTGATGCTCCCTGCTGGTAGCATTCCAAAGGAACAAAATTAATGTTGGTTTTAGGGGCTCATTGGTCCTGCTTCTCATCTTTATTATTTTTGCCAGGACGAAAGCGTCCTTGAATCACTGGTGTCAACTCCGGAGGCCCTGGTGGCCCAGGCACCCACAATTTATTTTGCTGTGGGTGCTTAGGCTCCGCCCCTGGCACCGCCGCACACCATCGCCTTACGTCTGGCGCTCCAGCACTGAGGCGGCAACTGGACTGGGGCCTGCACCTCCGCTGTGGGGCCTCTGGAGCACATCTGTGGCTGCAGCAGGCCTCAAAAGAGGCCCTGAGGCAGAGGCCCAGGCCAAATCATCACCACGGTACTGGTCATGGTGTCACATAACGCCAACATCATGACATGTGGTGTAGAGTGCACAAGCTGGTCATGCAAGATGTGGGTGTGCTTGCCTTGAATTCTGGTAATGCCTTTTCCTTGTCTAAATGGTGTGCGTGCATATGTGCAAAAAGTGGCTTACTGTCCAAGGTATCTATCTATCTGTCTGTCTGTCTGTCTGTCTGTCTGTCTGTCTGTCTGTCTGTCTATCTGTCTGTCTGTCTGTCTGTCTATCTATCTATCTATCTATCTATCTATCTATCTATCTATGTATGTAAAGGGACCCCTGACCGTTAGGTCCAGTCATGCCCGACTCTGGGGTTGGGGC